GTGGCTAGGTGCTTAAGTAACCCTGGGTTCAGTCCCTGGTACCAAAAAAAAAAAAAAAACCCAAGGGGAGTCACCTAAATAAATTAAAAGACTATAGGGAGAAGTGAGGCTTGTTATTACCAGATATTAGAGGAAACTAGAAAAATTTAGGGTTCTGTCCAGTCAGGTGTAAATAAAAAAAATTTAAAACAATGAATGGGGTTACAATCTAATAACAGGTGTGCTATAGTTTTTCTTTAGAAACATAATGAATTTGTGAAATAAGTTTAGTTTCATCAAGTTTCGCCTGATCGATTACATAAGTGCAATAATAATAGTGACTGATGACATAGTACTCTCAGGGTAGACTGTTAAAAACCTCTCAAGGACCAGGTATGTGGCTCATGGTCGAGTGTGTGCTTAGCAGGCACCGGCCCTGGAGTCAGTCCCCAGATTCATCTTTCATAAACCTTTTGCAGCTTCCTCTGACCTTTAGGACTTGCTCCAAGCTTTATCACTTGGTTAAGCCTTCAGTGTTGTCCCATTTCTTTGATTTTTAAACTAGAATCATTGTACCTTAAGACAAAATTGTATTCTTATTCTCTAATCACCAAGACCACGCAAAATTCTAATACAAAAATAATTTTCTTTTTAATGTTCTTTACCAAAAAGTACATCTGCATATCTGTGACTTCCTTTTCATCTCTCTCCTACTTACTAGTTCCTTTCTGTTTTATTCTTACTTTCTTTCTAAATCCACATTTTGAAAAAAAAAAATTAACCCCCAAATAAGGCAATATTCTCTTTAATGCCGTTTTATAATTTTTCTCATTAAAAAATCTTAATTTTCTATTACACTTTGAATATAGAATTGCATACATTAATTCTAGAATTTTTTAACACTTAGTAACCTTATTTCTGGTGAAAACCTAGGTTGGAAGCAAATTTTGAACTGTACCTCATATAGGAACATTTTGGGAATATTTTATTTCCTGAAATGTGTGCTTCCTCATTGAATTTTCTAGGATGGAACAGGACATATTTGCTAAGAGATCCAGGTGTATTTTGTCTGAATAAAAAGAAATCAAAAGTAAATTTATGTTTATGTCTGTTCAGGAGGCATCACTGTCAAATAAAATGTTCAATATTTTACTTGGAAATCACTCATTTTATGAATATCTATTTTTTCATTTTAGATAACATTAAGATTTCATATCAATGAAAATGATTTCAGATCAATGAAAATTGCCAAGAATACATTTTTTTAAATTTTAATTTGTAACAGTATTTTATTTTAAAATATAGGCCAAAAAAAAAGCAGATTGGGAGCATAGGGGAAAATAAAGAAAAACAGGTTAGAAGGCTCCAACCTGCTGGCATCCCATCCAGATTGCTTAATCCTGTAGTCACCATTTAAGAATGGATCCTTGGTATACTTTTCCCATTGGTTTAAAAAGAATGTGCATGAGGGCTGGGGTCATGGCAGGGTCGTGGCTCAGCCATAGAGCGCCACATGCAAAGCCCTGGGTTCCATGGTTCGATCCTTACCACCACATAAAAATAAATAAAATAAAGATATTGTATCCAAATAAAGAGATTGTATCCAACTACAACTAAAAAATTAAAAAAAAAAAAGAATGTTTATGAGAACAGACCATGGTACAGCTGCCTAGGGTCCCAGAAAGAAGTTCTGTTCTATGCCTTTAAAATTTAGGGATCCCATTCCATTTCTTATTTGTCTTTCAAGATTCTAAGAAAATCTTAGAAGCCTTTAGGAATAAATATTTTTACTCTTCTTGAAGAGTGTTCTGAAGTAAGCAGAGGAGGGAAGAGTAAATTGTTTGCAGATGCATGCAATCTAATCAAAGCAAAACCCAAAAAGTGCTCACACACACACACACACACACACACAAATTTAATTCAGATGTGCAGAACAAACAAATTTTAAACCAGGTCTTCAGAACTAAAGGTAAATTCCCGAGAAAAGACACAAGGTCCTCACAAACTGTCAGTTCATGTAGAGACCAGAGGACTCATGTCAGAAGGGGCTTGCTAGAAGAGATTGTCTTCTATAGTCTCACAAGGTCTTTCATTAAGTTTCCTTATAATCAAACCAGACAACAAACACAGTTGAACGAACTCTCCATAAAGAGAAGACACGGGGTCAGCAAGGGAAAGTCATGAAAGCAGAGAGCTCAGAAGGACTTGGTGTCACACTCTGGACTCCAGCCTTCCTAAGTTGACCTTGCAGCAGGTGCCACCCGCCTCCCTCCACCTCTGCCTCCCTCCTTTCCTTCCTTTTTTTGTTCTTTCTTTTCCCACATCTGACCCCAAATTATATCAACCTAAATAACAGAGTCTCCAAAAATAAGGAATTTACTCAGGAACAAAAATTGCAGTGGGGGTACACATGGATGTATCCGGGGAGGCAAAGACGACGAGGAATTTTAAAGGTAAAATGAAAAGGGCTCCGTTAGTTGTTTCAAAGGATTATCTGTGGCCACAGGATCGAAGCAAGGTTGGCATCAGTCCATGGTTTGGATGGGCAGTTGATGGGGCAGATATCCTTGGAGGAGCTTTAGTTTGTTTGTTTTTGTTTATTAATTATAAGAGTAGCCTTTGTTCAAGTGTGTGTAGAACTAGAACTCCTGCAGGGTGAGAGGGGACCTGACAGGTTGCCCTGGAGGAACATTTTTTGGTCAGGTTGCGTTGGCCTTGGTGCAAGGCTGTGGTTCTGGCAGAGCCTCTGTCATAGCTCTTGTCCTTAGGTGTCTGTACATGAGATCCCCTCCTTCACCACCTCCCAGCTGTATTTATTTATTTATGTTGTTGGAGTTTGACACAAGTGACTCCATTTTTATTGTGACAATTACCATTAATCCAAGGTCAATTTTTCATGCAAAAGAGGAAAGGATTGTGTTCCCCTGCAGGGTAAACTAATAGCATCCCTCAAGGTGAACCTGCAGGTGAACATTCTCAGTGAACGAACCTAAACTCAAAGATGTATGATGAGGGGAGGCTGGGGTTGTGGCTCAGCGGTAGAGTGCTCCTCTAGCACAAGTGAGGCCCTGAGTTCAATCCTCAGCACCACATAAAAAAAATAAATAAAATAAAATATTGTGTCCAACTACAACTAAAAAAATATATTCTAAAACAAAAGATGTACAATAAGCACTTAAAAATGGAAACATAACTTAGAGCTAGACAAATATGTCCATACTGTATTTAAATGTCTGCATGTCTATGTGTGCGCACAAGCGTGCATGCTGGGGGTTGAACTGTGCTGAGCACACACTCGACCACTGAGCTACACCCCAACCACAGCACCTGGATATCAGTTCCTCCACACAGTGGCTGTCACATGGGGGACACATAGTGGTCTCTCAAATCCCCGAGAAGGAAACTAAAGGAGATTTTTGGAACTTTAAATTGCACCTAGGTTTTTAAAAATTTCATCCACCAAGAATCTACAACCCACCAGGTTACCATGGGTCTTTCTGTTTACTAATCAGAGCTCTCTACATCTGTCATGAAACAGCATCGACCTTCGGTGCATTGTAAGATGACAGGCTTCAACTTCTGTGGGCCACACAGAAGCGAATGTGTAATGCCTTCAGACTTGCTGAAGTGTCACAGGTGGCCCCTGGGCCTCCCTGTGTCTTAGTGGACCTCTGCTGGGGAAGCCTTGCTCTGGCCTCTCCTGACCCAGCTTCCCATTTCCACCTGGGTAGAGAACGCCAGCTGGAGGACCGTGCCATCCCAGGGAGATGTGGGCCTTGTTCTGTCTTGGGAACCTGCACAGGGCCCCTCAGAGGGGCACCTGCCTCTGGGAGGGGGGCATCTGCCTTCACATTTGCTTTTACTTCAGCTCTGGGGCAGGGCTAGGAGAGCTAGACCAGTACCTCACAGTTTTTAAGTGTGGCTTCTCTGGTTCTCAGGTTACTTCCATGGGCTTCCGGAAGCCAATTCCATGAAAAACTGTTAAGGGCCTTCTGTGTTTGTCAGAAGCTGACAGTGAAGCCGGCTGGTCCAGGTTAATGTGCTACCGAGGACACAGGCCCTTTGCACTGGCCATGTGGGACACTGCCCTTCAAGCCAGGTATCCCTTTTTTTGTCAGATGGGCCCACGGTGATGGCCCCAGAGCTGCATGCTCTTGAGGACAGGGATGTCAGGCCTCTCCCTGCCTCCCTGTCTCCATGGGACAGGTCATCCTTTTGGGGGACTGCTTCCTAACTAGCAAGGATTAGAATTCCCCCTTTCCCCTCTTGTACTGTAGATAAGTCATATAAGTGATTATACAACTTTTGTCATTAAAGATCGAAGATGTCAGATTCATCAGAATGCTCCAAGTGTTTGATATCTGTTACATGAACAGATTGTTCTATCTGCCTCTCTCTTTTGTTCTATCTGCCTCTCTCTTTCTTCCGTGCCGGGGTTTGAACCCAGGGCCTTGCACGTGCTAGGCAATGGCTCCACCACTGGCCTACATCCCCAGTCCACAGGAAATTTGTTTTTAAATAAAAATACTCTTTGGGTAAACATTCTGCGAGGGGATGACCTCACTCAGAGAGGTCCATTCCAAGTCCTGGTTGGAGCCTGAGTCCCTCTGAGACCAGCCTGGGGACGCCACCACTGAGAGTCCTTGGGAAGTGAGGGCTCCTTTGTCTTGTCTCCCGGCTTCCTGGCATCGTCTCCCACTTGCTGGCAGTTGGGAGGAGGGTGAGGCCTCCCCCCAGAGGGGCCCCTGCCTCTGGAACTGGAGACAAGTCTGGCCCCATCTTCTCCCTGGGAACACAGCCAACCCAGATGTTTCCCAGCCCCTCCCCTGACCAGCCCTCCCTAATGGGCCCACCTCCAGCGTTTCTCTCACCTTCCAGACCCTTCCTCATGTCTTGCCCCAGAGTTCTGTCTCCAACTGGAGATGGGCCAAGGACCTGACTCTTGCCTCCGTTTTGCTGAGGTTTGACATTCCTTCGCCTTCACCGCCAGCTTTTGGTATTCTCAGAAGGAACCCGGCCTTTGTCTGCAGACTGGCTCTCAGGACGGGGAAGCTGGCAGAAGTACATGCCTTTGCTCTGATACCCCTGAGCCAGAGACAGGCCCTAAAGATGACAAATATACACAGACCGTGGGGTGTGCCTGCGTGGGCCCCAGGGGGTCCTGCTCCTGAGGTGTGGGCCGCCTCCCCAGGCTCCTGGAGGTTGTTTGACAATTGTTTGAATCAGTGATGTAAGTAATGGGGGGAGGGGTCACAGGAGGGGGTTTCCATATGGATTGATGTCCACAGGGCTGTGCGTGGGAAGGTGTTTTGAATAAGAACAAACACTAAGCAGCTTGTGCCCTTGTTTACAAGCCCTAACTCCACTGAGGAGACCCCATGTTTATAAACAGGTGGCCAAGACTGAACCCAAACAAGATTCCTCCTCCAGAGTCATTTATGACATCTTGAGAAATGCGTGGGTTTGTCTTGGGCGAATATTACAGCGTTGACTGCAGGAAGAACACAAGATAATGTGATTTTCTTTTTTTTTCCCTCATATTTTATTGGTGCATTATAGTTTTACATTACGGTAGAGCTCATTGTTACATATATTTGTACATGCCCATGATATGACTATATAATTTGGCCAGTATCATTCCACAGCAGCTAATGTTTTTTTTTTTTTGGGGGGGGGCGGGGTGCATACCCAGGGGTGCTCAACCACTGAGCCACATTCCAACCTTTATTGTATTTTGTTTAGAGACAGAGTCTCATTGAGTTGCTTAGGGCCTTGCTAAGTTGCTAAGGCTGGCTTTGAATTCGCAATCCTCCTGCCTCAGTCCCCTGAGCCACTGAGATTACAGGCGTTCACAATGGCACCCAGCTGATAAGGTGATTCTTAATACCAAACCCTCACTGGACCAAGAAAAATCCTAGAGGAATGTCCTTGCTCCACAAGGCCAGTGTTTTTTGAGCATCTACTATTAATATGTCCCAGATTCTGTGTGAAGCCCATCATTAGTACCGTCTCATGTCATTCTCATCCAACCTGAGAGTGGGGTTGGTTATCCCCATTTTACAGATGAGAAAAATAAGGAAATGAGTAACATTCCTAGAATTATACACACCAAGTAACAGGAAGAGGCCTCCTGCCCAGGCCTGTCTGGCCCCAGGGCCTCCAGGGAAAGAGGCACTGGATCATGTGCCTGGGTGGGCCCAGTGTTCTCCCTGGTAAAATGGGCAGTCCAGTGTCTCTTAGCTTTCTCATGGAAGCTGCTCCATCCACAGAGGGTGGTGAGAGACCCTAGGACACAGCCCAAAGAGGTTGCCTCAGCCAGAATTCTCTCTGGAGTTTAAAAATATCTTTTAATTTGATTTCATAATACACATTTTTGTTCTCATTTTATTTGGTGAAATACACACAATGTAAAATTTACCACCGTAACCATTTTGAAGTGTTCAGTTCAGAGACATGAAACACATTCATGTTGCCAGGCGCAGTCACACACACCTCAGCTTGGGAGGCTGAAGCAGGAGGATTCCAAGTTCAAAGCCAGCCTCAGCAACTCAGCAGAGCCCTGAGCCATTCCATGAGGGGATGGGGATAGGACTCAGTGGTTAAGTGCCCCTGGGTTCAATTTCTGGGACAAAAATAATAAAAGGACATTCACATTGTGCAGCCGTCCCCTCTCCAGAACGTCTTCCTAACCCCAACTGGAAACTGACACCATTAAACACTAAATCCCATTGCCCTTCTCCCAGCCCCTGGCCACCCCAGTCTGCTGATTCCGTGAGGCTGACTGCTCCAGGAGCCTGGTAGGAGTGGAGTTCTTCGTCTTCTTCAGGGAGGCCGGATTGGTTCCTTTCTGAGTGGCCTGTTTCATTTGGCGTCATGTCCTCAAGGTTGGTTCATGTTGCATATTTAATACAGAAATAACCACGACCCCGTCATAAGCCATCACCCAAACTCCTTACCACTCCCAGTCCTAAAGCTCATGTTCCCAGAGGCTTCGTCTTACCTGCTCAGGGTCCCTGTATCCCCAAGGTCACAGCCCTCAGCGTGGGAAGCACTGCCCAGCCAGGCCTCAGCTCCAGCTCCGGCAGGCATGTAGCTCATGGCCACAGTCTGACGTTCAGGGTCTGCACCTCGAAGAGGCCAGTGTGGGCCGTCCCTGTGGACCAGGGCATGTGCCACTCCCTTCCTGGGACACTGCTGCCTCCGTCTTTCTGTCGTCAGACTTTGCTCTCAGCTGTGGATTTCCAGGTGTTTTCAATTTGATGTTTGTTTTTATTGACATTAATCTACTGTCATCTTCTTTTAATTTAAACTGAGGCAAGCGGCCGCGAAGGACGGTTAGCTTGCCCAAGATGTCACAGCCAGCCATGGGTGACCCACCCTGCACCCGGGGCAGGCTGTGCAGCCTCATGCGGGGCCCAGGGGACACCAGTTGGGATGCAATTCCAGCCTGAGAAGGTCGCTCCTTGGAATCCTGGTTCCTTTGTGGTTGTGTCGTATTTGATTTGTACAAGTCTAGAGTCTCTTACTTGCAACTACAAAATTCAAAATTCTCTGAAAACTGAAAGTTTGTCAGATCTGACCTGATTGTAGGCCACTGAGGATCTTCATTACTCCATGTGGGTGAATATTTATGTTTTGTACAGAGTCAGGAATGTGTGTGTTGTTCTGTGTGGTGTTTTGATTAAAGAGGGCTTCCAATCCTGTTGGGGATATTATATAATATGCAGTTTAGTCTAAACTTCTGAGATCTGAAAGATTCTCAGTCCTGAAAAACACTTGACCCAAGTGTGTCTGATGAGAGATTGGGACCTAAATACAGTAATCTTCCTTATTTGAGGGTGAGATGTTCCAAGACCCCCAGTAGTTACTTGAAATTGCCTACCATACCAAACCCCTATATATTATTTTTTTCCTATTCGAAAATTTAGTTTACAAATTAGGCATAGTGACAATAAAATAGAAAAATTTAACAATATATTGTAATCAAAGTTAAATTTTAAACATATGAATGGTTTATCTCTAGAATCTTTCATTTACTATTTCCAGATTTTCAAACCACACTTGACAGCTGCTGTCTGAAACTGCGGAGGGTAACCAAGGATAAGAGGGACTGCCATAAAAATAATAGGACTGCAGTGACAGAAAAGTTGTAAAAATAAAGAGCTTAGACCCAGTTTTCTGTCTCTAAGTGGCTTTGTGCTTAAATAGGAGTTCCATCTGGGCACAGTAGCACATTCTTGTAATTCTAGCAATCTTGGAGTTTGAGACAGGAGGATCAAGTTAGAGGCCAGCCTTAGCAACTTGGTGAGATTCTGTCTCAAAATAAAGAACTGAGGATGTAGCTCAGCAATAAAGTGCCTAGTACCAACAAATAGATGATAGATAGATAGATAGATAGATAGATAAGGAGTCCCTGGACTGGAGATGTAGCTCAGTGGTAGAGCACATGCCTACCATGCAAGAGGCCCTAGGTGCAATCCCCAGCACAGCAATATAAATAAATAAACTAAAATAGGGGTCCAGGACAACAGGTCTCAACATTATTGAAGTTAGAGAAGCATCTCCAAAATGGCAAGTTGCTTCCCTCGCTGAAGTTACCTTGCAGAGCCTAATGGAAAGCTGGGAGCCCCCAGTGCATGAGTTTCTGAGTTACGCTGCCAGACTTTGGCCCCAGACTCAGGCGACCCGTGGGCATCTGGGCTCAGAGACATCCACACACTGAGGCTGCAGTCATGGAGAAGGTGAGAAGTGCCCTGGGCTAGTGTGGAAGCTGAGACCAGTTCTGGCCTTTGGGCTGTCAATCCAGCACCCCTCTCCCTGGTGACTCCAGGGATTGCAGCAGCAGAGCAGGAACACCAGGCCTGGAGTCTGCTCTGCCGAACCCTCAGAAAAAGACTCTGCACCCCGCATGGGGCACGGAGGCCACACCACAGACCCTAAGCTGCGAGACCCAGAGACCCCCCTGGACCTGTCCCCTGTGGGCTGGCTCCACACTCCACTGGCCCTTGTGGGGTCTGGACCCTGAGCCCCTCTCTCACTGAGGACACAAGCAGGTTCTACTTGCTCCCTCGACATCTGGAGGAGTTCAGGTAATCAGCTTCTCCTGGGGGACTGTAGCCGCGACCCGCGCAACAGAACAGGGGCGAGGGGTTGAAATCTCTTGGGAGGCCGTCAGGCCAGAGCATCAGGAAATCCCGCCCTTGCCTTCTGTCCCACTGACCTCCTGCCCCTTCTCCAGAGCAGTGTCCTGCTGCCACTGATTCCCCGCAGGTCTCCCCCTCCTCCTGATGTCCCTTCCTGGGATCTGAATTGAAGAGGGGTAGGGACACACTAGGCGCAAGGTCACTGAGGGGACATCCCAGGAATACCTGTTCTTTCTCTCCAGATGACCTCTTGTCTGTGGGAAGAGGAGGGATCGTTCTGTCCCAGCTTTGAGGATGAAACCCTCCCCACAGGCCAGGTGACTTATTTTATGACAGTCACCTGTCAGACATGCCAAGCACAGGGCTCTCACTCGGGGAGGCTTGGCTGGTGTCTCCAAGCGCTGGCTGAGACATGGCAGTAAGAGGGAGGACCGAGGGTTGAGATGGCACCTGGGAACAGCGGAGAGTGGAGGGCAGGGTGTCCCTCGAGTTTTTATGCTCTCCCCCTCGATTTTTGAGTGACTGCACAAAAGATGCTGTTTGATTTATGACGGGATGACAAGAAGACCCTCCTGAATTTACAGTGTGGAGAATGCACTTAATACTCTGACCTGCTGACCTTCCTAGCTTAGGGGGGTGATCAAGTGGTTGGCAGGTGCCTCGGCTCACTGCCTCTGCCAGGCATTGGGGTGGTGCTGGGGCGTGGGGGTGTATCACAGAGTCACTAGCCGGGGAAAAAATCCAAATTTAAAATTCAAAGTAGCTATTTTACAGAATGTATGTTGCTTTTACATTTTATCATCATCCATCGGCTATCAGTCAAACCATGGTAAGTTGGGGACTGTTAGGGTCTGGGTCTGGAATGTCCTTCCAAGTCTCAGCCTTGGTCACCAGGGCAGCAACATCCAGAGGTGGCACCTTCAGGAAAAGAGGGTTCTGAGCTCATCAGTGGAGTGACCCATTTGATGGATGAATAGTTAGAATGGACTCTGGGGAGGCGGTGGAAACTGCAGGTAGCTGGGACGTGGTTGGAGGAAGCAGGTGACTGGGCACTGCATTTTATCTCTGGCTCCTCTCTCTCTCTCTGCTTCTTGGCCGCCATGAGTGGCAGCTTTTCTCTGCTATACTCTCCCCACCAGGATGTTCTCCTTCACCTTGATCCAAACAATGGCACATCAGCTGAGAGACCTTTGAAGCCATGAGTATTTTTGTCACATGAATGTCAACCTATCACCGAGACCATCTGTATGAAGGGAAACCAATATATTTAAGTTTAATAATAGGACTATTTGAATATTCAGATTTTAAGATCAGCTTCAGTCTAAATTATCACATAGCCAGGTGCTGTGGTGCACAACTGTAATCCCAGCGGCTTGGGAGGCTGAGGCAGGAGGATCACGAGTACAAAGCCAGCCTCAGCAAAAGCGAGGCACTAAGGGACTCAGTGAGACCCTGTCTCTAAAAAAATACAAAATAGGGCTGGGGATGTGGCTCAGTGGTCGAGCGCCCCTGAATTCAATCCCTAATACCACCCCCACAAAAATTGCAACCCTTACTAAAGTGTAAACTCTCCAAGGGAAGGGGCTATCGGGTATTTGAAGGGAGGCTATGGTGGGGCATTTATCCCGTGGAACCTGATCGCCCCTACCCAGCAGGGCTCTTTCGGCTCCAGAGTGCTGGCTGTTAAACATTGACCACAGCCGGTTGGGGCTGCCTCCAGCTTCTGCAGCAGTCTAGCCACTTAGATATTCCAGGAATAAATACATGCATGAACAACCACCACCACAAGAAGAAGGAAGCAGAGAAGTTCGGTTCAAGAGTTCAGCAGAACTCACGCACCGCACCGGGAGCCACAGGGAGATGGTAGATGTTCATTTCCTAGGGGTTCATTTCTAGGGTTCATTTTCACCTTCCCATCTGGGGGGGCTGCCAACTCTCATGTCTTAGGGCCTGGCAGATGAGGTGCAGGCATGCTCTATGGGGTCTGAGTCAACAAGGACTGTTCAAGGTGTTTTCTTGGGGTGACCTTGGTCAGCATTGCCGGAAAGCGGTGGTGGAAGTAGCTCAGCATCCAGCAGGATAGTTCCTAACCAGAGCCATTCCTGGGCCACAATCTGCAACATTCACAGGGGTTCCAGCCCATTTCCATGCCTCACCCTCCAGCCTTCCCGTCAATTCCATGAGTTCCCAATGTCCTTCCTCGAAGCAACTTTTCTATTTAAGTCGACTGGATCCTTTTCTGTGGTTTGCAACCAAGAACGCTGTGAGTCAGTTCAGGTCCTTAGAGGAGCAGATGCCAAGATGGGATTAGGTGTGCAAGGGAGCAGTGGAAGGAAAGACCCATGAAGATAAACATGGAGGGAACCATGGGGGAGCCATGCGGGGAGCCTTGGGAATGTGGAAGAGAACCAGGCACCAGCTGGAGGCTGCCAATCAACTGGGCTTCCCACAACACTCTCCAGAGGGAAAACTTTAGGACCACTGCAAACCTCTAGTACAGGATATATAACAAGGGAAAAGAGATTTCTGCACTTGCAAAGTTCCCAGTTTGGAGGGAGAAAAGAGACCAATAGAATAGTGCAGGACCAACCCTGGCCCAGGGGCCACAGAGGCTGCGGTAAGGGAAGGCTTCCTGCCAGAGATGGATGGTAGAGCAGCTCCCTGTCTTAACCTTGAGCCTTCCATCCCAACCCAACCACACAGGGATCTGACCGCTTATTTCTTAGCTTTGTCTCTAGTTATGCAATTTACAGAAGTGACCCAATGTAGAGAATTAGGGGGCGTGTGGAGCAGGGGGAATTAGCATTTTTTCAGACCCTAGTGGGAGCTGTATGGAAGCATGCCATCTCCACGGGGCTCATGTGAGCAGGTTGTGACTGAATGAGGTGACATGACTTGCCCAAGTCCATACACTGTGAGGAGCAAAGCTGGTGTCCAACCCAGGTCTGTCGGTCTCCCTGGACTTTGCTCCTGCTGCTGCCCCAGGCTACCCCAATCCCCAAATGGAAGGGGGTCTCTGGTTCTGCCAGTGGGTGGCTTGGAGCCAGTACAGAGGGGAATTTACAATGGGAAGGAAGGCTTTATGCTTTTTCCTGAAAACTTTCTGAAACTACCGTATTTCTGGGCACTGATTATTGCTGGGCACTGTTCTCCCTTGTCTCTCTGGGGTGGGCAGAGGAGAACGTGAGGCCTGCAGAGTTCTTGCCCAAGACAGTGAGTGGCGGGGCCTGGCTGTGGGCAGGTCCTGACTCCCCAACCTCAGGGGTCTCTCTGCAGTTGGGGAGAGGAGTAAGAAGACCCAGGTCTGGGTGTCTGAGACAAAGGGATCAAAGGAAATCCAGGAGCAGATCAGGAGGATGAACTCCTGGGGCCTCAGCTGCCCCATTCAGCCTTGGGAGAAGCATTTCTCTCCCATTAACAGGGACCTTTGACCAAGCTGGAGGGGCCAGGGAGTAGGACTTTTAGAATGGAAGAAACTTTTTTTTTTTCTTCTAGAGAGGCTCTGGGTAATTCCACTCTGCTTTCTCTGCCAAGCTTTATCTTTGCCCAAGAATTCACACACCTCCCCAGGGGCCCCTGGGACACAGCTGCTTCAGCTCCTCCTCTCTACCCTGATAGGTAAGAAAGGCCCTGGGGTTTGTGTTTTAACAGGCACTCTCTCCCAGCGTCAGCGAGGGCTCAAGGCAACGGACTGCAAAAGCCCAGCTCTGAAGAGGGCTGAGCTCCTCCATGGGTGACTTTTCTCTGCTCACAGGAGATCAGGGAGAAGTGACTGGCCAGAGCCAGCAAGGGGCCAAAGGCAGAAGAGGATGGGGGGAGGGAACCAGCCTTTGTGAGCTTCCCACCTTCCACAGGCTCGGGGCCAGTGCCATTTTCCTACAGATGAGTGAATTCCAGTTTTAGAAAAGGGACGACAGGCAAGGGGTGCTTTGCTTGTGAGAAAAGACAAGCGAGAAAGGAAATTAGATTTACCACAATTTACTTAGCTCCTGCCTTGAGGCCAACCATGCCCTGGGCACGGGAGATGGGGATGCAGGCCTTACCCTCTGGGAACTCAGAGCTGCTGACGCAGGAGACTGAGCACCACTGTGATGCACCACAGAACTACAGCAGGCAAGAACTGAGGAGCTCTGCCCAGGGGGTGGTCTGCGGAAGGCTTCCACAGGTGAAATTTGACCAGGGTTTTGAGAGATGAGTAGGAGTTAGCGGGGCTTGGGACAGTACATTCTAGACAGTGAAAAAAGCTGGCTGGGATGTGGGGATAAGGAGAAATTAGTTGCAGCTGAAGTAGAGAATTCAAGGGTGGAGGACAAAGAGGGTGGCTGGACGCGAGGGGTGCGGGGAGTGATGGAGGGGCTACGGTTAAGGAACAAGGGCGAGCGAGATCGCAGAGGCGACTGGCCCAGACCCAAGGCGGGAATGACCCGGAGCCCCGGGAGGGGAGGAGAGGAGAAGCCGAGCCTTGGCGAGGATCCAAGCGGGTGGAGGCACGGGGCTTCTCTGGTCACCACGGAGGCCTCTCGGCGGGGGCACTGTCCTCCCGCGGAGATCGGAGCTGGTGTCCGCGGGGCTGGGTCCGGGGAGATGGGTGGGGGGAGATGGGCGGGGAGAGAAAGCCCAACCTCCGCGGGCGTTCCGCGCGGCCGGGCCGACCTCCGGGCTAGGGCAGGGGCGGGCACCGACGGAGCGGCCCTGGCAGCGCTGCGCGGGGCTCCCGGCGCTTTCGGAGACAGGTAGGAAGGTGGAGAGGCCGGCGGTGGGAGTCAGGGGCGGCATACCCGGCTTCTGCAGGAATTTGCCCCGCCTAGCTCCTGGCGCTTGCGGTGTCGGAGAAAGTGGGGCGTGGGGAGCCCACCTCCGGCTCCCTCCACCGAGGTGCGCGCAGGGCGGGGTCCGGCCAGGGGGACAGGGTGCGGAGAACCGCTCGGCCAGGGTCCCAGGGCCCCACGCAACCCCGGGGTCCCAGCGCCCACGCTTCCCACCACCTTCCCTCGGAGGGACGCCGTTCCCTGCGCGTCGCGGAGGCGAGGACTTGAAGGCCGAGCGCGTCCCCTCCTGACCTGACGCTGGGGATCTGGGCCTGGGGAGCTGAAGCCTAGGAGCCCGGCTGCTGCCACAGGTGCCCGGCCGCCCCCAGCCTCACTTGCGAGCCGCATCTGGGGTCTTCGAAAGACGCACAGGCGCGGTCCCGGGTTGGGGACGCGGGGCGCCCCTTCAGGGTAAGACAGAAAAGGGGGACAGCGTCATGCCAGCCCCGGCAGAACCCACATCAGTTAGGGACGGTGCAGGAGGGTGGTGCCCAGCGCCACCAAAGCGCCAGGCCCAGGTCTGCCCCGCGGGAAGTCCCAGCCCGGGTCCCACCAGCCGCCTTTGGGTCTGGTGAAGCACCACCGCGTTTGGAGTGTCCGTCCTGCGATCCGGGGCGCTCTGTCCTGCCCCTGTCCAACCCCGGGAGTAGCTCGGTGGCCAAACCCAGCTGAGCTGGCCCTGGAACCGGACAGGTTGTTTGTCACCACTAGATGAAAAAACAACTTTACAGGCTTCAGGGACTTTGGAATTGCAGATATGAGTTGTAGTCCGGGGCATCTGCAGAGGCCGGGGTAGCGCTGGTAGCAATTGTAACTTTTAATTTTTTTTTCCTTCCTGTCCTTTCTTTAGTCTCTCCCATAGCTAAGCTCACCCGCCCCTAAAGGTTTGTCTCCTTAGAGAAGCATCTCGCATAGCCAATCATGTCATCAGCCTTAGGCTCCTACAGCCGCGCCCGCTTCCCCTTCTGAGCCAGAGCGGATGCTGTCCCCAGAGCTGCCTCCGCGAGGTCCCGGCCTAGCGAGGCTGGAGAGGGGAGAGCATAAACCTCCCTCACACCAACCCCAGGAATTTCGGATTTGACTATGAAAATGGTTACTAGACGAATGATTGTATTTACCAAGTACCCAGTACCTATGTCTATACGGGTGCCAGGGGAAATTTTGCCAAACTTGGCTTATGTATGCTGTTTTTTCCCAGTAACCTGAAATCATTTTATATTAAACAAACAAACAAACAAACAAAAAAAGACATTGGTGGAATTACAGATTTTAAAATTCAAACATACAGGTCAGTACTTGTTAAATGTTTTGTGCTGAACGGTACCCATTTCTTATATCATTCTTTGATGCAGCGACTAGTACATACAAGTGCAGTGTGTGCATACTGAACACACATATACCACACTGCCTACGCACACATGGTACACACCAAATCACACAGCCATTGTACGCAGAGTGCACTGTCCGGACTTAATCTTGCACAACACGCTGAGCACCTGCCTGTATGCACACTAGTTATGGAGCCTGTTCATGGAGATTCTGTACAGAGAAAAGCTGGCCTGGGTTTAAAATAAGATACAAAGTCAGAGTGGTGGTGCAGGCCCCAAATCCCAGGGACTGGGATGGGAGCCAGCCTGGGCAATTTAGTGAGACCCTATTTCAAAACAAAAGTTAAAATGGATGTAGCTCAGTGGTAAAGTGACCCTGAGCTCAATCTCCATTATTTGTGTGTAAATGTATATATGATATTATATATGCAATACCATGTAAATGATACAATCGTGTGTGGGTGGATGGGGATGTGTGTATTGAGCCCAGGACCTTACATATGCTAAGCACTCTCTCTACTACTGAGCTACACTTCCAGCCCCAATTAACTTTAAATTTTTTTTTCTTTTAATAATATTTAACTGCCCATGGATCTTTATTTTATTTATTTATATGCGGTGCCAAGAAACAAACCCAGGGCCTCACACATGCTAGGCAAGCGCTCTACTACTGAGCCCCCCAATTAACATTTTTAAAAGCAGTTGAATTTTAAAATTATCTTCAGACTTTAAAAAACATTTAAATAATAAAAACTGATATACAAATCTATATCTTTAAATTTTATTTATTTATTTATTTGTTTATTTACTTTAACTAGGGATTGAACCCAGGGGCTTAACCACTGAGCCACATTTCCCAGCCCATTTTATTTTTTGAGGGCCTAAGTTTCTGAGGCTGGCTTTGAACTTGTGATCCTCCTGCCTCAGACTCCTGAGCCCCTGGGATGACAGGAGTGTGCCCTGCACCCGGCTTTTACCAGGTGTTTTTAAACAACGGGTGTAATGGCTTTTTCAGAGGAATCTCTTGGTGAATTTAAAGCAGCGACTGTGGTTACTTTTAGTATGAATTCCCTGTTTTCAACAACACAGTAGTGCTTTAATTGCCCTGTTTTTTCTCGGGTTCCCTGAAACAAGTTGTTCCTGAAGGTCTGCCAGTTGCCGGGCGCTTTCTTTCCCACGTGTGTGAATGGCACAGCGGTGGTGTGCGCCTGGTGTCTTCTCTGTTTCGCACCCCGGCGGCGCTCCCTGCGCGGGTCGCCGATGGGACCCCACACCCGGGGCTGCAGCAGCGGGAGGCGGTGCCCTGCTCCTGCCCCGCCAGCTCTAACCCGCGACCTCTCTCGCAGGTGGAAATGCGACTGCTCCTGCTTGTGCCCTTGCTGCTGGCTCCCGCGCCCGGGTCCTCGGTGAGTGCAGCGCGCCCCGCCCCCGGGGGACCCTGCGGAGGAGGCGAGGCGAGGTGGGCTGGAGCCCATCGGTGGCAGCAATTTACCCAGGAGAGGGTGGCAGTGCTAGAGAAGATGGGGAAAGAGGAGGCAACCCACATCTCTGCCCTCCAGCTCCTGCAGGAGTTCCCGGGACTGCCCGCAGGGAGGCAGGGAACAATCCCTAGGGATGGCAACCTGCCACCTATGGAATGCACCCTTCAGAAGGTGGTGGGTGCATTCCATTGGGCCCTGGCTAATGCTAAGAGAGGACAGCCCCCTCTCTTGGTGGTGCTCCAAGGAGGAAAGTCAGGTGGGGACCATACCAGGACCAGTCAAGGTGTAGGGCAAGATAGCCCATCCCACCAGACACCTGCAGTCCACCTGGAACCAAATACTGCTGTCCCTCAGCTCCGGTATTTGAGTGTAGCTGTTTGGGGTGTTTGCTCTGCCTTTGGGGTTTGCCCCTAAGCAGAACTGTCCAGTACAACCTTCTGAGAAGAGCTGCATCTTAGAGATGTTCTGATGTTCAGTAGGTGGCCTCTAGGTCCCTTGTGGCTATTGAACACTTGAAATGTGGCTATTGCAAGTGAGGAACTTTTAAATTTGACTTGGTTTTTGTTTAAATAGTCACATAATGGCTACTGGCTATGGTATTAGAGCAAAACTTAGTGGTTACAGGAAGCCAGCTGGCCATCAGAGTAGCAAAGGGACCCAAAGGACAGGGTTCCTTGGAGAAGGTACCTGGGGCCTAAGGATATGCAGGGAATGTTCTAGACTGCAGGACCCACTTTGGGGAGGAGAGAGTCTGTGGAGTTGAGTGCTGCCCTGGCTTGCTGGACAGAAAAGAGAGCATTGAGATAACTAGGCCCCATTCTGCCCTGGGAGAGCTCTCACTGGGGAGACCACAGCTCTGCCCAGCCTCTGTGAGGCAGGCACAGGTGGGAGAGAAAGGACTCCCTAAGAAAGGACCCAAACTGTGTGTTGCTGTAGGGAGGGCAGGGGTAATGCCACCTCTGTAGAATGCAGGAGGAAGATGAGCAGGGCAGGCCGGGATGGAGGTTCGTGGTGGGCACTGCATGGTCCTCCAAGTGCCTGAGGATCCAATGCTGGTCACAGAGAAGTGGTGGGCTACAGCCATCCTTCTCCACTACCTGCCAGCTTCCCATGTCACCTCTGCTACCCTGTGACCCTTGCTTCCTAAATGCTACACTCAGATCCTTCAGGGAGTTCTGATGTCCCAGCTGCATGCAAGTCAAAGCCCAGGTGGAGGGGTCATCATGACCCCAGGACAAAATCCCAATGTATGACCCTAGCCAAATCACCAAGCCTAAGATTCCCCTAATTTGGGAGTTGCAATGCCCATCACTCAGATGAAACAAATCAGAGCACCCTGTGTCCTTTCTCCCTCAGGAATACCTGGAGTAATCTCTTGCCTCCTCCTGTTTCCAGCATCTAGTCCCAGATGGGGCTGGTCATGGCCTGGGTTGAGAACCCTGCTCCTGCTATCCTCTACCCATCTGGTGAAGGGGTCTGGCCCAAGCTGGAAGCTTAGCTGCTTTCATTTCTGGTTCCAGCCGGGGCAGGGTCTCCCATAAGATTCCCAGCACCTGGGGATCATTCTCAGTGCTGAACAGGGGTTGACTTGGATGATTAAAGGAGGCAGCTGGCCTCCATTCCCACAATTAAAGTCTGGTGCCCCAGCCTCCATTCCCACCTGCCTCCTCTCTGTCTCTCTCCCTTCCCCATACACCACCTTAAGCTGATTCCCCTGGAAGCAGTGCAGCAGAAAGGGGGCTCCTGATTTGCTCCTGGTGGGGGCGGGGTGCTGCTGAACACAGCACAGGGCAGGCAGGGACAGGCCCAGGGCGAGGCTGGCTGCATCAGCCCTTTCTGGCTTCACACCCTCAAGCCGCTCGTGGTCTGGGTAATTACAGGGAATAAAACATGCTGGTGCCACTCGTGACTAAACATGTTCCTTCCGTGGAGAGACAGTACAGAGAGGGGCACAGCACAGCAGGGGGAATCACCCAGGCTAGGGCTCTCCAATGCTGACTGCTGGTGGCCCAGCACGTAGATGCCATTCTCATGGGTGCTGGGTGCAGGAAGCCGGAGAATGTTTGCAAGGCATCTCACCTTCGAGAGAGCCCTGTGTTCATGCAGGGCATGGTGGCACAGTGACTCAAGAGGTTGAGGCAGGAGGATCCCAAGTGTTTGAGACCAGCCTTGGCAACTTAGTGAGACCCTGTCTCAAATAAAAATTAAAAAGGACTGGGCTGGGGTTGTGGCTCCGTGGTAGAGCGCTTGCCTAGCATGTGTGAGGCACTGGGTTCAATTCTCAGTACCACATAAAAATAAATAAAGGCCCATCAATGACTAATAAAATATTTTTTTAAAAAGGACTGGGGGTGAGGGCTGGGGTTGTGGCTCAGCAGTGGAGCACTTGCCTAGCACATTCAAGGACCTGGGTTCCATCCTCAGCACCACATAAAAAATAATTAAATAAAATAAAGGACTGGGGGTGTAGCTCAGTGGTAGAGTGCTCCTGGATTCAATCCATTGTACACACACACACACACACACACACACACACACCCACCCTGTATTCAGACCAGTCCCCACTTCATCCTGATGGGCACAAGGTGACTCCATGGTAGGGAGGTCCCACTTCACCTTGACCGCAGCAGCTCGCCCAGCCCAGCCCCGCTTTAGGGAAGGGGGGATTTGGAGAAGCTCAGGTAGCTGGACGAGGGAACCAAGACAGACATCCAAAGGGGCCTGGGTCAGAGAACGAGAGCTAGGCCCACACCCGCAGGGAGGGAAGGCTGCAGCCCTCTCACCACAGAGTGGCCAGGCTTGATGCCTACGGGGAAGAGGTGTTGGAATCCCGGCCTGCACTGCCCCCCGTCCCTGGAAAGCTACTGGCCACTGCTCAGTCACTTCCTTTTTATTATTTTTTTTTAATTTTATTTTTTTAAAGTATTTATTTTTTAGTTATAGTTGGACCCAATACCTTTATTTCACTTATTTATTTTTATGTGGTGCTGAGGATAGAACCCAGGATCTCGTATATGCGAGACGAGCGTTCTACCGCTGAGCCAGAATCCTAGCCTGTCACTTCCTTTTTAAACTAGAAATTTAATCCAAATAAAATCAACTTCGATTTCGTTGAGAGACTACTTTGATACTTGGCTCACTGGTTTTGAAAGCTTATCGCCTTTGTGGCAGCGGGAACTGAAGACGCAGATGATGCTCAAGACTGAGAGCACAGCCCTCTTTATGCCGGGCTCAGCAAGTTGAGTGCAGACTTCTCTGCCTGGAGTTCTGGTCAGTTATTAAGCAAGGGTGACCAGGTGTTCCAGATGGAGATGAGCAGCCCTCTGTGTCACTGGGCACCATTGTAACAGCCCCAGCAAGAAGAGCTCACGTTCCCACCTGAGCATTCTCTAAAAATTAGGGGTGCTTTCTATTCCTGAAGATTTTTATGTGGCAACACCCTAAAATAAAGTCTTCTTCCAGAAAATGGGACGTGTTTGCAGTCCATCATCTGCTTCCTGGCAGATTGTGAAGTCAAGTCAGATTCCTGTCCAGCTCCTTAGGACTTACCTAATGTTTCATTTGGCTGCCCCTGAGAAGCAGGCAGGGATACAGTCCCACGATGACAGCCTGGGGTGAGGCTGCCCTGTCGTTATGCCCAGTCGTTCCTGTGTGGCTTCCTCTCTTTCTGCCTCACATTTGTTATGCAATGGGTTCTATTGGGTTGTTCTGAGGATTAAGTGAGAGAATATGGGTGTCACGTGTGGACTTCTGATGCTAGCTGCAAAGTGTCAGATCTTTCTGGTTCTCAGGACTTAGAATCCTTCTTTATGAAGCCTCTAGACCTTCATTCCCTCACAGATTAAAAGGCTGCTCCAATTCCAGCCATCACATCTGTTTTCCAGTCATCAGGAAGGCATGAGGAGGAAGAAGAAAAGGACAAATACACATGCAAGCCCAACACTTTTACTTACATGACACTGGTGAGAATTTAGTGATGTAGCCTGTTAGCTGCAGGAAGTTAAGAGAATTTGGCTAAAAGTCCAGTTTTCAAAGATTCTCTCATAATGGGGGAAGGGGAGTGGCTATTGAGGTACTCTTGGAAGTCTCTGCCATGGATCAGCAGGAAGAGACCACAGCAGACTCCCTCCAGGATTAGATTAAGTTCCCAGTTTCATAGACTAGAGCTCTAGAAACTTCTAGAAACAAGTGCCACAGGCTTGGTGTGGGAACCTGGGGAAGCACTTCCCTGCCTATGGGTGACATTCCCGTCCTACTTGAGGCCTTCCTGTCCTTTTATATGTCCATCTTTGGGGGCTCATGCTCATGATCAGGGGGCTGTAGACCCTTTAGTTCTAAGCTAGGCTCTGGCCAGATTATATCATTGTCAGGGTGAAAAGTCGCTGTTCCTGGGTTGGCAGTTTCCCTACCATGTCTGGCAAATAGTAGGAGTTCAAGAGATGCTGCTGGTACTGGCTACTTTGCCAGATAAGAAAACCACAGCTGACCGAGGTTAGATGATGACCCAAGGACATGCAGCTGTGTGTCCCAGTCTTATATTGATCCCTTTTTTCCTTTAAGGTTCCCTCCCCACATCAATGTTGATCCACAAAAACCTGTGCACAGCCCCGGCCATAAAGCCCCTCACCCAGGATGGCAGGCCCTGGAAGTTCTGGCCCTTCCATGATGCATGGACCTTTTCAACACCCTCTCTCCCACACTCAGGCCTGGCTTAGTTCTTTATGGTGAAACCTGGTTAATTTAATTCTTCTTATTTTGTTTTTTTTTGGTACCAGGGATTGAACCCAGGGGCACTTGACCACTGAGCCACATCTCCAACCCTTTGTATTTTTTATTTTGAGACAGATGCTTGCTAAATTGCTTAGGGCTTTGCTAATTTGCTGAGGCTGGACTTGAACTTGTGATCCTCCTGCCCCTGCCTCCCAAACTGCTGGGATTACAGGCCTACAGTGTGCCACCAGGCTGCTCTGAAGCTTGCTAATTTTGTAAGTGAGCATTTTGGGGTGCCAGGGCAGTGTTGCTGTGTCCTACAGGCTTTTTGAACAGGTAGGGGAGTGGCTTTAGGCACAGGGCCCTTATGGGGGCTCCAGCTCAAGTCCTGATGGGTGATGCTGACTCACAGCCTGAGCATGTCTTTTTCAGGCTCCCAAGGTGAGGCGGCAAAGTGACACCTGGGGCCCCTGGGGCCAGTGGAGTCCCTGCAGCCGGACCTGCGGAGGAGGCATCAGCTTCCGGGAGCGCCCCTGCTACTCCCAGAGGTAGGGGAGACTAACGGGAGCCCAAAGAGGGCAGGTGCAGGGGAGGCCAGCTACTGGGTCAGGAGCGAGGCATCAGGGGCCAGCAAACGACATTCATTTTGGAAGCAGCCTCAGTGGAGTATAGGAAAGCAAACCATTTCCTGTGTACTTACCCACCTATTTCAACCATCAGCCTTGATTTGGAGGAACTGGAGCTGGTCTGCTTCTTCCACCCCTGAGCCTCGGGCTCCTCATTTGCAGTAAATTGTTGTGGTTTTTTAAAAAAATTTTAATTCCTGTGGTTTTTATTATTATTTTTACCTCCAGCAGCTTTGTCAAGTGTAGATGTTCACCACTTAAGTGATTTTTTTAAGCACTTAGTGTGTGCTCTGCACTCTGATGGGTTCTGTAGAGGGGGTGGGGACCAAAAGAAGAGTGTGTCCTTCCAATTCATTCCTGAGAACATATGTGAAAAGAGGGCGGGGTGAGAGGGAGAAAAAACGTGTTATTCTAAGTACTCTTATTCACTCCTTAAATTTTAAACTAGTCTTACAGGTGGGTGAATATTACGTCCATTTCCAAGGGCAGAATTTGGATCTTCCCTGGAAATTTGCTTTAAAGAGGCCTGATGGTGCCGAGTTAGACCAACTACAGCATAGTCAGGCTTCTGTCGCTTCTCTCGGAGGAATAGGACTAATAATGCCCACCCAAGGGGATTTGTGTGTGCACACACCCCTCCCCACCTAGCCGCCCCTCTAACTCAGCCTTGCCCACCTGGAAGCCCCACCAAAGCTGGGGGCCTGCAGGAGGGCCCAGGATGGGGCGAGATGTTGGGGTCTTCCTGGTCCTCTGCCCGCAGGAGAGATGGAGGCTCCAGTTGCGTGGGCCCAGCCCGGAGCCACCGCATTTGCAGCACCGAGGTAAAGGCCGCGCGGCGCCACCTCTCCAAGGCGCACCCGGCTGAGGCCCCGGGACACCCTCCCTTGGTGGCTCCTGAGCGCCTTCGGCATCCGCACCCGGGGGAGCAGCCTTGAGCGCCGCAGCTGGATGGGGTGCGGGCCAGAGGCTGAGGACCCAGGGCTCCAGGCAAGGGCGGTGGGAGGGGACAGGTCCCGGCCTCCGGGGCGCCCACGCTGGGACCCACTTTCCTGCTCTGGCCGCGCAGAGCTGCCCCGACGGCGCGCGGGACTTCCGGGCCCAGCAGTGCGCCGAGTTCGACGGCGCCGAGTTCCAGGGCCAGCGGTACCGGTGGCTGCCCTACTACGGCGGTAAGCGCCTGGCGTCTAGGGGGCTTCTGTGCACACGGACTCGCAGTCCTTGTCACCATACTCTAGACGCCTGGTCACATGTGTCTTCCAGAATCTCCAGTACCCTTAGCCCGTGCCCATTGCAACACAGCACGGTTGTCATTTTGACGTCTTTGGGCCCTTTCCCATCTCTGCATGTATTCTGAACGCTGTGGTCTGTAGCGTTTGGAGCAGGGTTTTGTTCAGCCCAAGGCTCTGCCTGTTGCACAGAGGTGGAGGTGGGGAGGGAGGGGTAGGATCGGTGACCCATGAAGCAAACTGCAGGCAGGGTTTGGTCGAACAAGACCCCATTACCCCCATCTGGGGCCTGAGGACAGGGTCTGGGTAACGCTGAGCAGGGTGGAGGTCGCTAATTTTTAGAAAAATACAGTTCAAGATAAAAACACCAACGTGTACGTAATTAAGACATTTAGAGAACTCGGAAGCCTTGCGATAACCCTGAGTGTGTGTTTTCACTACTGGAGAAAAATGACTTCTGGAAACTCCAGAAGATTTTCTACATCAGTGAACAACGAGTAGTCTGTCCTCTGTGTGTGCTGTGTGGGGGCTACCCTGGCCAGTAGGGATGCCCCCTACAGCCCCTGGGAGGTGGGAGGAGCTTTGGCATTCAGTAATCCTTCCGCATCCTGGGGTGGGTATGTGCAAAAAATAATTTTTATCTATCCACATCATAGAAAAATGGAAACAGGAAAAAATGTTAAAAATAGTCTAGGTAGGCGCTGTGGCTCATGCCTGTAATCCCAGTGGCTTGGGAGGCTGAGGCAGGAGGATTATGAGTTCAAAGCCAGCCTCAGCAAAAGTGAGGTGCTAAGCAACTCGGTGAGACCCTGTCTCTAAATAAAATACAAAGTAAGGCTGAGGATGTGGCTCAGTGGTCCCCAGTACCAAAAAAACAAAACAAACAAACAAAAAAGTCTAGGAGGGCTTCCTCATTGTGGAGTTGATTAAAGTCCTGTTATCACTTTGGCTGTTCATGTGTAATACCTAGATAGTAAATACAAGACAAGTGCCCCTGCCCTCACTGTCAGCAGCTCTTTTTACATTTTCTCTATATTGTTTGCATATGGGCAATTATTACACAGTAATTTCCATTTTTCTTTTCCTCTTGTGCTGAGTATCAAACCCAGAGACTGGCACATGCTAGCTAAGTGTTCTGCCACTGAGCTACACCCTCAGCCCTCTTTATTTTATTTTGAGACAAGGTCTTGCTAAATTGCCCTAGCTGGCAACTTGGTATCCTCCTGCCTCAGCCTCTGGAGTAGCTGAGGTGCCACTGTGCCCAGCATCATTCTGTGTTTGAAAGCGTTTTCCCATTTAAATGTACAGTCTCCATAATCCTCACTTGAACTTCATGGTCAAGCACACACAACACTTCCTTGATAATCAGGGTAGAGTATGAACACCTGAGCTACTCTAATGCTGGGGTAGACCTCCTTAAGAGTGTAGCTTTTTCTTTTTTCTGGGATTTCTCCTTGACTGGGTCCCCAGAGACCCAGATGGGGGACATCTCTTCTGCCTGGGATGAGGGTGAGCTTCTGTGCCACCTTGGGGGCTGAGGCAAGGGCCTCATCCCCCAGTCATATATGTGCTCCTGGGCCTGCCTGAGCCTCCCTGCTTCAAGGCCAGGCCTTGGGCCCAGATCTCAGCTTTGCCCTCTTGCCCATCCTAGCCCCTAACAAGTGTGAGCTGAACTGCATTCCCAAGGGGGAGAACTTCTACTACAAGCACAAGGATACCGTGGTGGACGGGACACCCTGCGAGCCTGGCAAACGGGATGTCTGCGTGGACGGCAGCTGTCGGGTGAGTTGTGTCTCCCCTCCTCTGAGCTGGCTGGAGGCCTCTGTGGATACCTGTTCACCACCAGCAGGGCCAGGTGGCTGTCAGGAGCCCAGTGTCTTCTCAAGTTACCAGGACACCAAGCCCAACTCCAAGGATGCTTTATAGCTATCACAGACGTCCTCTCACCCCCTTCTCCTTACCCCTAAAGAATGCTGACCTTGGGCTGGGTTTGTGGCTCAGCGGTAGAGTGCTCACCGCACGTGTGAGGCCCTCAGTTTGATCCTCAGCACCACATAAGAATAAATAAATAAAATGAAGATATTGTGTCCAACTAAAAAATAAATATTAAAAAAAAAAGAATGCTGACTTGTAAAAGAAACTCTGGGTGGCATGCTAAAACTGACTTCAGTAAAAACCAAACCCATGCCAGGCACGGTGACACAAGCCTGTAATCTCAGTGGCTCAGGAGGCTGAGGCAGGAGGATTGCAAGTTCAAAGCCAGCCTCAGCATTTTAGCAAGGCTCTAAGCAACTCAACAAGACCCTGTCTCTAAATAAATATAAATAAAGGTCTGGGGATGTGGTTCAGTGGTGAAGCGCCCCTGGGTTCAATCTCCAGGCCCAAAAACATACAGAAACCAACCCCAAACAAACCCATCACTAAGGGATGGCTGCGGGTGCTTGGATGGTAGTGCTGGGACTCTCTCCTCTTGGTTTTCCTCCCCTCTGGGTCAAAGTCGGGCAGATTCTTTTCAGGAGGTGTGACGAGATGGCCTCCCGCAGCCTCAGGTCCCTGTGGTACCTACCAGTTGGCAACTCCAGGGCATGGCCACTTTCCCAGGAGTCCCACAACTTGGGCTGGCCTCTAATCTGTCATGGCCTCACCAAACCATTCTCTGAGGAGGGCGATTGACCTGCTGGTTTGCCAAAACCACGTTTGGGGAGCTCCCTCCAACTTGTGTGAGGAGAGGTGACCTCCAGTGGAGTTAGGGTGTAGTCACCAGAGAAAGGGAGACACCACAGGCCAGGTGTGCTCAGCCGTCCCTGGCTTGCAACTGAGTAACTCCTGAGCACCTCTGTCCTGCCTGGTCCGTGTCTCCTTCTGCTTTCTCATATCCCTCCCTGGCAGGTTGTCGGCTGTGACCACAAGCTAGACTCGTCCAAGAAGGAGGACAAGTGTCTGCAGTGTGGGGGTGACGGCACCAGCTGCTATCCAGTCACGGGCACCTTTGATGCCAATGACCTCAGCAGAGGTAGGGGCCCCTGTAGGGGGGTTCTGATGCCTGCCTGGCGCTGGCCTGTCTTCCTCTCCGGACCAGGCTCCAGGCCAGGTGGCTTCATGACCACCAGTGGGTCTGTTGGGTCTCATCCTAACAGCTCCCTGTGGCTGCAGGGAGGAGACCACACTCTTAACTACTTGTCCATTCTGATCTCATACTGTTGACACTGAGAAGCCGCTTCTCATCCCTTTCCCCCTGGTCCCCACCCTGTCCCTTCTCCCTCCCCAGCCTTCCTGTCTCTCTGGCCTTCATAAAGCTTTTTCCTCTGTCAGCAACACTGACCCCCAAGCAGCCCAGCCTGCTTGTCTCCCCTCCCTTCATCTGTGCCTCTTAGCACTTGAACCCCCAAGGACAGCTCCTTCCTGGGGTCTGAGGGGTGCCAGACAAAGTAGCTCAGACCCCCACCCCTGAATCTCTGCCCATCAGGCTACAACCAGATCTTCATAGTTCCCATGGGGGCCACCAGCATCCGCATCGAGGAGGCTGCTGCTAGCAGAAATTTCCTGGGTGAGGCAGCAGTTTGGGTGCTGGGTGAGTTTGGTCTGTGTGGGAGGAGCCTCTGCCCTCAGGGCTGACCGGGACACTTGTCCCTACACAGCGGTGAAGAACGTCCGCGGTGAGTACTATCTCAACGGGCACTGGACCATCGAGGCAGCCCAGGCCCTGCCAGTGGCCAGCACCATCCTGCAGTATGAGCGGGGTGCTGAGGGGGACCTGGCCCCTGAGCGGCTGCAGGCCCGGGGTCCCACCTCAGAGCCCCTGGTCATTGAGGTGAGCAGGGACCTGGGTGGCATAGGGACTGGCACACAGCTGGGCTGGGAGTCTCAGCCTGAGGCTGGCCAGTGGGATGGCCTGACCTCAGCAGGGACACTCCTGCACAGCTCCTCAGCCAGGAGCCCAACCCTGGTGTGCACTACGAGTACCACCTGCCCCTGGGCAGCCCCCAGCCAGGTGTCTTCAGCTGGAGCCACAGCTCATGGAGTGACTGCAGTGCCCAGTGTGGTGGTGGTGAGCACCCGGCCGGTGGCCAGGGGAGGGAGTGGGCCCTGGGTTCAAGGCACTGCAAGCCACACAGGTGGGCAAGTAGCAGCTCTCTCCTCAAGGCAGGGCGGAGGCAGTGAGGACGTGTAGGTGAAAAATCTCAGGTTGTGGGGTCACCTTGGGGACCCTTGGGGATCTGTAGGATTCCATGCAGGACCCCAAGAGGGAGGACTTTACATTATTCCATTGGGAGTGGAGGCCAGGCCAGCATCTGATGACCAGGTGTCAGGCTCAGCTGTCGCTCTCAGCTAAAACTCTCAGCCTTGGTTTCCTCATCTGTAAATTGGGGGTAATGATCAGGCCCACCTGAGAGGGTTGTCCGATACTTAATCAGGATGACCTGTGGGTGGGGTCCAGAGCAGTGCCTGGCCCAGAGAAGGAGTGTTTCCTGAGAGTTGACGGAAGGCTGCCCTCCTTGGCTCTGACCCCACACAGGTCACCAGTCCCGCCTGGTGTTCTGCACCATTGACCATGAGGCCTACCCCGACCACCTGTGCCAGCGCCAGCCTCGGCCAGCTGACCGCCGCCCCTGCAATCCTCAGCCTTGCCCGCAGACCAAGGGGTGAGGCCCTTGTGGGCCCCTTCCACTCATGGTGGGGCCCAGGAACCTGGGTGGGAAGGGAGGGGTGTCTAAGGTGCTTCTGGAGTAGAACAAAGAGGTTGGGGGGCCCAGGGCTCTGCAGAGCTGTAGCTGGGGACTCTGAGGGAGTCCATGAAGGGCCCTGAACATGAGGCCTAGGGCCCTTCTCTCCACCCTTGTATGCCCATGCAGTCCTCAGAATGTCCAGGCTGGTGGCAGCGGGCTGGGGACAGTACTGGAGGTCCCTGCCTGAGTCACAGGGGGCTTAGCTTGGCACATGCTAGGGATGGGCCAGGGGTCTGGCTAAGGGCCTGTCGGCAGCAGCAATGCCTTTGTTCGTGCACAAAGGATCTCTTACCTGCACCGGCCCGGAGCCTGGCGCCATGCTGGGGCCCAGCGTGTGTGTGGGAACAGGTAATCTGGCCACGGGCTCCCGCAGTGCTGCCCACCGGCCTTGGTGGCAGCTATCCTTGTGAGCTGGTGGTGGGCTTGGCTTTGCATGGTGTGTGGGGGTCACCCTTTCCTCCAGGGCCACACGTTGGGGAGCCATCTAAGACTTTCCCATCTAAGGTTGGACACTAAGAAACGGCCTGGCTGGGGCGCTGGGAACCTGGTGAGAAGGAAGAGGGATCTGGGGTGAGCAAGGATAGGGACGCTGAGGAGCAGTGGCTAGGCTCAGTCATCAGGATCCCTCAGATGGCCATTGAACCGTGGGGGCATGCCTGGGAGGGCCTCCTGTGGTCTTTATGCAGAGCTCTTTGTCCCCACCCTCAGGGTCCTGGATGTTCAGAGGGTGGGCAGGGCTGGAGTTGGGATCCTCCCCACACGTCTGCTCCTGTGTGTGAGGGCACTGCTCCCAGGCCAGTCTTACCCAATTCCCATCCTCACCAGCTGGAAGGCAGGGCCGTGGGCGCCCTGCTCAGCCTCCTGTGGAGGTGGCTCCCAGTCCCGCTCTGTCTACTGTGTCTTGTCTGATGGGGCCGGCGGCCAGGAGGCAGCTGAGGAGGCCGCGTGTGCGGGCCTGCCTGGGAAGCCCCCGACCACACAGGCCTGCAACCTCCAGCGCTGTGCAGCTTGGAGCATGGAGCCCTGGGGAGAGGTGAGGCCCCTGGCCCTGACCAGGCTGGGCTGGAAACCAGAGCTGGGCCTTAGGCCTGGGCAGCAGCAGGCTGGGCTGGAGGCTTGTCCTCTGCTGTGGAAACTCAGATCCTGGGCGGGTGGCAGTTGTCTCTGAGAGGGTCAGTGAAGGGCCCTGAGCATGAGGCCTAGCACCTCATAGGTGGCTGTCTTGGAAGCTGTGACCAGGGATGACTAGAAGCAGATTCCTGGATCCTGGTCCTGGGCTGGATGGGAAGCCTCGGCCTTGGCCTGAAGAATCAGCTGAGCATGTAGTTCAAGGGCAAGGGAGGGGCTTCCAGGGGCTGGGGCTGCTGGTCATTACTTCAGCACCTACATATGCTCCTCAAGTTACAAATGAAGGGATGTGAAAAATGTCCCTTGGCCTGGTGTCAGCTGCCATGGTCAAACTGTGTGACCTCAGGGGAGTGACAGCCTCTCTGGGCCTGGGGTCAGAACACAGGCAATGGGATGAGTATGCCCTACCCGCGGGCCTGGTGGGCCTCCAGCCGTCCTACCCATCAGCAGCCCCCTCGGGTAGCTCTTGCTGACAGCCTGACCTTGCAGTGTTCTGTCACCTGTGGTGCCGGCATCCGGAGGCGGAGCGTTACTTGCCGGGGTGATGAGGGGTCTCTGCTCCATGCCTCTGCGTGTTCCTTGGAGGACCAGCCGCCACTCGTTGAGCCCTGTGTGCGTGAAGCCTGTCCCCTCCTCAATGTCCAGGCCTGGCATGTTGGCGCCTGGGGTCTTGTGAGTGTTTGTCCTTGCCCCTACCTGCTGACCCACCTGGATCTGATGTGCACCGCGGGGTGCCTTCCCTTCCCCATCTTCCTGTGGGTGCCCCAGCCTTAGAGTCCCTATCTTCCCACTCCCACCCTCGGCCCCAGTGCTCCAAGAGCTGCAGCTCTGGGACTCGGAGGCGACAGGTCATCTGTGCCATTGGGCCGCCCAGCCACTGTCAGAACCTGCAGCAGGCAAAGCCCACGGAGGTGGAGACCTGTAACCCGCAGTCCTGCCATCTTCCTCAGGGTGAGGTCGCGGGAGGGCGGGCCCAGGACTGACCTTCCCACTCACTGCACACCCAGCCGCACTCCTGCGGGCAGCCCCTGACCGCCCTCTCTGCCTCTGTCTGCTGAAGCCTTTGCCCTTGCAAAGTCCATCTTTCCGCGACCTCAGAAGCCAGCGCTGCTTTCCCGCACCGGGCAGCAGTGTCTTCCCCTCATCCCCACTGCCCCCAGCGTGCTTCATGTCTGTGCCACTCATGTCATGCTGCCGTGGTGGTTGGCATACAGCTGCTGCTGCTGCTTTGTCTTTTGGGTACTGGGGTTGAACCCAGGGGTACTTAACCACTGATCCACACCCCCAGCCCTGACCCCGTTTTAATATTTTATTAGAGACAAGGTCTCGCTGAGTTGCTAAGTGCTTTGCTAAGTTGCTGAGGCTTTCTTTGACCTTGTGATCCTCCTGCCTGACAGGTCATCTGTGCCACGGGGCCACTCAGCCACTGTAGGAACATGCAGCAGGTTCCTAAGCTGCTGGGATTATAGGTGTCCTCCACCGCACGGGGGGACATGTAGCTTCTTAGTCCTATTAGCTATAAGCTCTTTGAGGACGGTGTCCATGACTTCCTGTTCCTCCTTATGCCCCCCACAGAATGTACCTAGCAGGAGAGAGGTACTCGGCAATTGTTTGTTGAATGCCTGGGTGCAGGGGGAAGGAAGGGCGTCCAGGTACGGGCATCTGTGGAAGGAAGGGCACAGGCCAGCATTTGCTGGTGTGCAGATGGGACATTGAGGAATGGGGTGGGTTGTAGCTGAGCTGAAGGGGAGGATATGGTAGAAAGGTATTTGATTTCGAAGTGCTAATGATCAGGACTATAGGGACCTTGAGGTGGGGATGACGGGGTGCCAGTGGAGGTGTATGGCAGGGGGCCAAAGAACCAATGTCTCTGAGTCCACAGCAGAGAATTTTATTTGCCCTGGGCTGACCAGTTGTATGGCCCTCAGTAAGCACTCTCCTCTGATAGTGCAGGCTGTGGTGGGTCCCAGGTAAATGGCGGTGGTGTTAGTGAGCCTCGGTGGGCAGGCCTAGCCATAGTGACCATCTGGAGGGTCCTCAGGGCCAGACCTTGGGCCTGGATTCTGGCCTCACCAGCAGGAAGACACTTGGGACCCAGGTGTGGGTCTCTGGGTGGAGCTACTCTGCTGCCCAGGGCCCTGATGGCTTCCTGGAAGAGGCAGTCTTGAGCCTGCACCAGGGACAAGTAGGGGTCACATAGTAAAGCAGGAAAGGTTGTCTCAGGCCAGGCTGAGAGGGAAGAGAATTAAATACATTACTATTTTTATAACTATAAAATAATGTTTGTTCAGTGTGAAAGTTTTGGAGAAATTAGAAAGTAGTATGTAAAGAATTAAAATTGCCTTGAACTCCACCATTAATGGGATTCGTCTTTAAGGTATTTCCCTGAAATGTGTATGTAATTTTGATTCTGATTCTTCCCCGTCATTCTATTCTCTCTGTGGACATTTTCCAGCTTCATGATCTCTAGGACTTCCACAGAAGTTCACAGGGTGATCATTTAGAATCTAGGTGGTTTTTGGTGTTTTGGGTAATTAATACCCTAGAGCCTACTGGTGTGTGTCAGAAGGAAGGGGAGTGGTTTGGGGCTGTCCTTTGGGGAGACCCACTGAGGATTAGGTGTCCAAGTGCCCTCTGCTTCCTCTTCTTTCTAGGCCCTAGAGCAGTACTGTCCACAGGAAGTAGAATCTAAGTCATGCATATCATTTCAGACTTTCTAGAGCCCCATTAAAAAAGCAAAAGGTGACCTGAGAGTGAAGTTCAGGAGTAGAGCATATGCCCGGCATGTATGCAGCCCTGGATTCTGTCCTCAGGGCTGCAAGGGAAAAAAAAAAAGTAAAAGTAAACAGATGAATTTATTTTTAAGAATATATTTTATTTTCTGTGTATTGTAGTACATTCCTGTAATTCCAGATATTCAGGAGACTAAGGCTGTAGGACTGCAAGTTCAAGGCCAGCCTAGGCAACTTAGTGAAACCCTGGCTCAAAATAAACATTTTAAAAAGGGCTGGGAGGGGTGGGGATATAGCTCAGTTGTAGAGTGCCTGTCTGGTGTGCACAAGGCCCTGGGTTCAATCCCCAGCAACACACATACACACATACACACACAACACACACACACACACACGGGCTGGGTATTCATCTCAATGATAGAGTGCCCCTGGGTTTAATTTCCAACTGCAAAACAAATAATATATTTTATTCAATCCAATATAAATATTTTCAGTATGTATTCAGCATTTTTTGGGGGGAGGGTACTGTAGATTGACCCCAGGGGCACTTTACCACTAAGCTACATCTCTGATTCTTTTTCTTTTTTGAGATAAGGTCTTGCTAAGTATGCCTGGCTCAACATAAAAATGTTTGAGAGTTTGCATATCCCCCCCCCCCATCTCTCCCTCCCCAGTACCAGGGATTGACCTCAGGGCCTTGTGCTCTACCACTGAGATGCACTCTAGCCTTTGTATTCTCTTTTACAAAATTAAAACCTGTCTTCAAAATTTAATGCATAATTTATACTTACAGCTCCTATTTAGATGCTAAATTTTCACCAGAATACTTACTATAAAACTAGATTTCATGAAATTTGGAGCCCAAGTTATTACAAACATACTTAAGTGTTTTTCAATACGTGAATCAATATTGATTTTAAAATTTAGTTGTTTGTAATTAAATGAAGTTGAAGACTCAGTTCCTCCATCACTTAGCCACATTTCAAGTACCCAGTAGCTGTGAAACCAGGAGGGTCCTCAGCCCTGGGGATGAGGTGATGCTCTTAGGTCTGGATGGATGCGGAGGGCTTCAGGCTTGGGACTCGAAAGACCCAGGGGAGACATTGACTGGAGCTAGAGGGTGACACTATGAAATTTGAGAGTGCAAGTTTGGCCCCTGCCTGAGGATCAGACGGAAGTGGAGACAGATGAGAAGATGCAGGCATCTCTGGGAGCAGACGGCAGGAATTCATGCACTAGAAAGGGCTCTGGGACCTTTCAGGCACAAGGCCCTGGGTTCCATCACCGGCACTGTTTAAAACAAAGAAAAATGGTGGGAATGAAGGGCAGGTGTGGCCCATGAGGGCTCGCTGCCCATGGCCTGGACTGAGTTAAGCCTACAGAGGTGGAAGAGTCGTATGAGGGGAAGCCAGAGGGCAGGACAGGCTTGGCACAGATGCCTTTAAATTTGAGGTGACCAAGGGACAACGGACAGAGATTCCAAGGTTGTGAACACAGGGCCAGAGAGATGGTGGGCACTTGTCTGTGGGAGATACAGATATGGGAAAAACTGTAAATCAGCCTCATCCCAGGTTCTGACCTGGCTATGTTAAGAAATAAAATTAAGGATCTTACTGCACACCTCTTGGTATCTTCCAATCCTAAATTACTATTTTCAATGTTCCTAGGGACTGGAAGCTGTATCCATGTAGAAAGGGAATATTCACTTATCTATTCTAATTACTCCGTTACATAGTAACATGTTTACTGTAGAAAAATAGAAAAAAATCTGTACCGTGAGCAGCCACATACCCACCATCTAACTTGTACATTTAGATGTTTTTCATATTTTTTAATATGGAATTTTAAAAACTGAGGTCAAACTTATATAATATATGGTTAACTCTTTTAGTGTATGTTTGGTGATGTTAATGTTATTTTTTTTAAGCCTTTTTTGCATATAGACATCCTAGTGGGGCTAAGTGTTATCTCATTGTGGTTTTGATTTGCATTTTTTTTTTTTTGTTATGCTGGGGGATTGAACATAGGGCCTTATGCATGTGAGGCAAGCACTCTACCAACTGAGCTATGTCCCCAGCACTGCAGTTTCTTAATGACAAGCAATGATGAAGATCTTTTTATATGCTTGACTATTTGTGTATGTTTAGAGAAATGTCTAGTTCTTTGTTCATTTTAAAAATTGGATTATTTATCTTTTCATTGTTCCGTTTTGTGTGTGTGTGTGGGGGGGGAGGTTCAAACCCAGAGCCTTAAGCATGCTTGGCAAGTGCTTTACCACTGAGCTACACCCCCAGCCCAATTAAAAAAAAATCTACCATATTTTGCTTTATGTGGTGGGGATGCTAATTTTGTATTTGGCTCTTTTTTTTTTTTTTGCTGGACCCTGCCCTCTACACTCATTGTGTTGGTTCCATGCAGAGGTCCCCAGTGTGCAGAACTTGCATGCTGGTCCCAGGGACTCCTGGATGCCTTTGGGTCCTCAGGAAGCTCCAGCCTCAGGTGAGAAGCTGGGCCTCGGCTGCCTACCCAGCACTTCTCATCTTTATGTCTGAGTAGGTGGTACCTGGAAGTAGAAGTCAAGGGTGGGGATGTACCAGTGGCTGAGAGGAGTGGTTTAGGGGAAATGGAGGAGAGTGGGTTAGATGTGGACATGAATGGAGGGAGAGGAGCCAGGTGGACACATCAGTGTGGCTTTTGCTTTGCCTTTATAGACTCCAGAGACCAGCGTTGGGCTGCTCAGGAACGGCCCTGGGTCCAGAGCAATCCCAGAAGGGACCAGGGCCTCCAACTGTCAGCCCTGGGCCCAGCCCCCTCTCTGCAGCAGTCCCCACACTGGCTGCCCCCAAGGTCTGGCTCAGGGACTAGTGACTGCAGACACAGTCCCCATGGGTGCTGCCCAGATGGCCATACAGCGTCTCTTGGGCCACAGTGGCAAGGCTGTCCTGGGACTGGGGCCTTGTGTCAGCAGAGCAGGTAGGTGCTGGGGACAGTTCTTCTTCACCAGGTTAAAAAAAAAAAAGGGACTTGGCCTGTGGGTGGGCGGTGTCTTCACCCAGAAAAAGGGATGTGGGGAGGGGGTTGCAGGGCTCAGGATTAGGACTCCCAGGGTTTTGTCTCTGAGCTGCCCTGACTGTGCAGTCTTGGGGCCTTGGCTTTGGAGCTGGGCTACAACTTCCTGTTTTCCCTGCTGAAATCAGCCTGGGGAGAGGAAGCCAGAGCTTAGAGAGGGCGGAGGGGTGATTCTGGCTCTAGATCTGGACCTAGCTCTCTCTAGATCCAAGTCAGGCACAGGGAAGCTGGACCAAAGCTGACCCTTCCCAACACCCCCACCCACTCCAGCCTGGCAGAGAAGGGCTGAGCCATTCCAACCTCTGCCAAATTCCCTGGGGCTGGGTTTTCTCCTTCCAAGGCTTGCCCTGGGCAGATGCCCCTCAGGGCCTGGGGTGGAAGGGCCCAGGTTTTGGGGTCAGTAGCCTGGGGATGATTGTCAGCCCAGCCACTTACTAGCTGTGCCATGGGAGAGTGAAGGCAAGTTACTTAATCTCTGATCTTGGCCTCCTCTTCTGAGAACTGGGAACAACGGTGGCTACTTGGTGGGGATTGATGTGAAGGTGAAATAGGTTAACAACTGGCACAGAGACAGTGCTTCACCATGTTTCTTTCACCTTGCTTCCCAACACCTGGTTGGTGGAGGTGAGATAAATGGTGGGCTCCTTTTAACCCCCCTTTTTGCCATCTGCTATTGTTTTGTAAAAGCTCCTTGGGAGCCTGCTATTTTGACAGGCTCGGATGAGTTCCCCTTCTTAATTCATGGTAGGATGTGTGAATCAAGTGTTCAGGGCTGCAGCCTGTGCTTACTGTTGCCCTCACGGGCAGCTGCAAGGTGGCAGTGGACATGGGCAGAGGCAGGGGTACATGGAGTGGTATGGTCTTCCACCAGAGGTCTCACCTGGCTGGAGCCCTACCCTCCATGCGTGGAGCCTCAGAACCTGCCTCCTGTGGTGCTGGAAGATGAGGCCTGAGGGTCCCTGGAAGCCGGGGTCAGGGCTGGGCAGTGAGGGGTGCTGTGTGCTGTCTGCCTAGGTACGGATGCTGTCCTGATGGGGTGTCTGTGGCGGAGGGGCCCCAGCAGGCTGGCTGCGCAAGATCTGGGAGCAGACCAGGGTCCCAGGCAGTGTCTTCCATGGTAAGCATCTGGATCCTGTGAGAGAGGTACCAAGCTTGTCCCTGGTTTTCTCAGTGCTACTTGTCCTAGGATTTTTCCAGCTTTGACCTTGGTACAGGAAAGTTCCAGCAAGCTGGCTGACCTGGGCCATCTGTTTGGGGGTATATGGCTTCAGAGATGGGCCTGGCTTATGGTTGGAGTTTCATTCCACATTCTCCTGGCCTCTGGTCACCCTCATCACTGAGGCTATGACCCTCAGACTTGTGGTCCTGTCTCTTCCTGGTTGCTGCTGCCCTTCCCCAGGCAGCCCGAATCCTCACCAAGAGCCAGACCTGTTTTCAGCCTCTCAATCCTGGGCTTTTCTCTCCAGGTTCCTGAGGCCCGTAGGCCCCAGGCCCAGCAGAATGAGCCCAGTGAGTGCCGGGGCTCCCAGTTTGGCTGCTGCTATGACAATGTGGCCTCTGCAACTGGCCCCCTTGGGGAGGGCTGCACAGGCCAGCCCAGATATGGTGAGTGGACACACTCTTCTCGTCCTTCCCAGGAGGTGGCCTCTAGTCGCACTGTGTCCTGCACTCCCACCCCCACCCAGTGACAGAGACCTGCCCATCAGCTCATCCATTCCTCCCACAAATTCCCGAGTGCCTACTAGAGGCCAGGCCAGAAAACGGTGCCAGATTGTTCTTGTATCCAAGATTGTACTCGAGGCCTTCTGGCAGCTTTGGGAGTTAGAAAAGGTGGCAAGGAGGGATCCCGAGAAAAGAGAGGGCCCATGTTGTGCCTGGGAGTCAGCCTCGTCCTGAAGTGGAGACAGTGTCAGGGTGAGCAGAGCTGGGAAGGGCAGGAGTGGCCTTATCTTGCTTGGGACGTGGATGGGGCAGTGGGACAGTCTTGGAGAGAGTCCTGGGGCTGGGGGGGCGGTGGTCATTGAGGCTGGAGCACGGGATGCATGGGTAGAGCTGCCAGGGACCACCATGCAGATATCAGAAGTCAGATAGGCTGGTGGTCAGGGTTTTACAGGACACCTGGATGGGTGGCCATGATCACATCTGAAAGTTGAGGTGGAGCAGGCCCTGCTGGCCAGGAGGGCTGTTAGAATGGGCAGGCTGGCAGCTGCGGGGGCAGGTTTGAAGGCTGGTGTAGAGTCCTGGGGACAAGGGTGGGCTCTTTGCTGGGTATTGTCACAGACCCACCAGGGTGGGCACGGTAAGGTTAAGCTCTAGCTGGGGTGTCTAGTTTGGGAGGGCCGAAGGTGCTGACAGCTGGCTGTGGCCTAGCTTAGGGCAAGTCTGGGCAGTGGACACTGTCAAGTGTTTTGTGTTCCCAGGGCCTGGTCAGTGGCCCAGGCAGGATTATAGTCGCACTCCACAAACGGAGAAAGATGTGGTTCCCAAGTCTGAGGCTGAGGGGATGGTGGGTGCAGCTTTCATTGGCTACTTGGGTGATCCGTCTCACTCCTTCCCCTTCCAGCCTACCCTGTGCGGTGCCTGCTGCCCAGTGCCCTCGGCTCCTGTGCAGACTGGGCTGCCCGCTGGTACTTTGTTGCATCTGTGGGCCAGTGTAACCGCTTCTGGTATGGTGGCTGTCACGGCAATGCCAATAACTTTGCATCGGAGCAGGAGTGTATGAGTAGCTGTCGGGGGCCCCAACATGGACCCCACCATCCTGAGCCTGGGGTCTCTGGCCAGATTACACACACAGATGGTGGCGGCAGCAGTCCCAGAGGCCCCCAGGAGCCTGGTCCGCACAGGACAGGAGCTACTGCTCCAAGACTGCCCTTGCCTTCTGGCGGCCTCTGGTGGAGAGAACAAGAGCTTGGCCCTGGGGCGGCCACCTTTGGAGACCGGCCTGGGGGCCAGGAGCTTGGTTCCAGGACCCCTGGACTGGGTGGAAATGCCAGACAGCCAGCGCCACCCTCCCACGGTTCTTCCTACAGGTGAGACCCACCTTCCCAAGGGAGGAGGATAGAGTGCCCAGGCCAGGCTGAGCTGGCTCTGTCTTCCGTCCCTAACTTCTGATCGCCACCTGTGACCTCCTTTCTATGGGTGGGGAAGCTGAGGCTTCAGAGACCCCATGAGATCTTGATGTAGACCCCAGCTTCTGGGTTCTCTGTCAGCTCTTGCTGGTCTCTAGGGCCCGTCTAGCTAGAAAATGTTGCTGGCTTCAAGTCACCCAGCTTCTCAGGGCCTCAGTTTCTTGACCTGTAACATGGTGATATTATTTCCTGCCCTGAATTTCTCCTGGAGATTTGGTGTGGGTTCCATTCATTATTATTCTTGGGACTGGGTTATCATTAATAAGAGATTTGAAAAAAATGAAAAAACAAAACTTACAGGCCATAGGGTCAAGCATGTAGTCCGGCCACCTATGTGAATCTTTTGTGGGGGTCACTCCTCAGCCTCCTCTCAGCCCCTGAGTTTCATGTGCCTTGTTGCTCTTGAAAGAGCAGGTTGAGGGGCAGCTCCTGGGCATGGTGGGCAGGTGGGAGGGGCTGGAGTCCTGAGTCCCTGGGGTGCTGGACTTGGCTTCCCATGGGACTCTCTGGCCCAAGTATCTGTGACAAGCTGTTTGTTCTGGTGCCTAAGAGGTGGTCCCTGGCCCTGATGCCAGGGGGCAGAGCGTCACCTCTCACTTCTTCAGGATTAGCTTGGCAGGTTCACAGCCCTTCCTGGTGCAGGCAGCCCTGGGGCAGATGGTACAGCTTTTGTGTCCCAGCAACACCTCCCCGGAACCACAGGGTGGGTGGCAGAAAGATGGCCATCTTATCTCCTCTGACAGGTATGTTGAACAGGGACAGTCCTGTTTGTGTGAGTCTTTCCCCACAGTAGCCCTTCTGACCTTCCCTGGGACAGAGGTAAGTGGGCTCAGGAGTGCTCTGCGGAGCTAGGACCCACTCTGGGAGCAGCACTGGGGCCTGAGGGAGAACTCGTTGCCCTCAGGAGCCCTGAGCTCACATCGTCCCTCTTTCAATTCAGGCACCAGTTGCAGTCTGATGGCTCCCTGGTCATCAGCTCCCTGCAGGCAGAGGATGCTGGCATCTATAGCTGTGGTGGCCACAGACCAGGCAGTGACACCCAGAAGATCCAGCTTCGTATCACAGGTGTCATAGGCCCCAGAGTGGGACTGGATGGGAGGGCTGTCCCCACATTAGAGGGGCCTAAAGTGCTTCCATGGGTCAGCTTCTCCTGACAGCAGGAACCACACTGTGGCTCTCATTTCTCCACCCTTCCTTCCTTTCCCTTCTTTCCCAGCTCACACCTTGCTTCTCCTAACCTCATGACAGGGGAGGACATGGTGGTGCTGTCTGAGACTGAGCTAAGGCACTTTCCTCAGACCAGGGACCCAGTCCAGGACCACAGTTCTCAGGACTTCAGCCCAAGGAGGGATGCGGGGGGCCTGGGGGCTGTCTCCTCCTCACACCCACGGCCTGCAGCCAGGTAACAACTCGGCAGTGCCATCTTGCTCTCAGTCTCTCCCACCTGAGGGCAGGGACCATGGACTCCGTGGGTGAGAGAAGGGAGAGGTGTATGTTGTAACCAGGCCGTGCTGGCTCCTTCATGGGGCTTTGCAAGGTGAGGATGAGAAACGTGGCTCTTTGAGCTGGACCTTGTGGAGAGGAAGGGAAGCCCTTGCCTGTAAGCAGCTCTACAGGCCTGGGATGAAGGGAAGGGAAGGTATCTAGAGCTAGAGGGCCCAGCCAGCTTGGAGGAAGAAGGCCTTGAGGCTTGGTTCAGTTTATGGAGGGTGTGTGGAGGGCTGATGGGGTGCCCAAGTCAAGGCCTTGGTAGCAAATGTGTAGGGTGGGGAGAAGACAGGGAGGTGGTGGGTATGTTTAGCCAGCCATGGGCTAAACGAAGCCCAGTTACTGACTGACTGTGTTCTGAGCAGAACACAGAGGTGATTGTGGGAAGCTGAATCTGGCTGGAGAGGAAGCTCACTTGGAGGCCCCATGGGAGTCAGGGAGGCGGCGGCAAGGGACTCTCATGGCTGTGGGTGGCTTGTTTTGTAGGCTGCATCTGGACCGGACACAGCCTGCAGTGGTGGATGCCAATCCGGGTCAGCGAATCCGGTTGCCCTGCCGTGCTGAAGGCTTCCCTCCCCTGACCATCGAGTGGCAGAGAGATGGGCAGCCCCTCTCCTCTCCCAGGTTCACCCGGCTCCTCCCTGCCTTCCTGTTCTGCCTCCAGCCCACACCATCCTGTGGAGGCCTGAGCAGGACTCCTGGGCTCTTGAGAGATGGATCTGGGAGTGCAGGGCTCCTGGGGTGGGCCAATATTTGGGTCTCTGGGTCTTTCCAGAGTGTGGTTGGTGGATAGAAATAATAAGTGGGCTAACATAGGCAATGGCTGAGGAAGGAAATGGAGTCTGAACCCAGTTCTGATTACTTGCTAGCATTTATTGAGCACTTAGTGAGCTTTTCTCTCATATAAGCTTCAAAGGAGCCATACTGAGGCAGGTGCTCTTTTCTCTCCGTTGTGCATATAGAGTTTAACATCACATAGCTCATAAGTGGTAGAACCAGTGTTAGAGCCTACTTGAAAATGGCAAAGTCTAGAAACCCAAACCAGAATTATATCTGAAAACTTGAAGAGATTTATTGTGAGGCTAAAAGCCAGGTATATTTGCAGTGAAGTGCTGGCAGCAGGAGGTAGTGAGGGCCTGAGGCCTATTGGCTCTTTGGTAGACCTCGGTTGATAGTCGGGGCCACTCAACCTCTGATCCCAGTCACTGTCTCTCCCTCACCCCCTCCTGACCCCTGGGGCTGGAGCCAACCCATTGTGCTTGGTCTCTAGACACCAGCTCCAGCCTGATGGTTCTCTGGTCATCAGTGGAGTGGCTATGGAAGATGGTGGCTTCTACACTTGTATAGCTTTCAATGGACAGAACCGGGACCAGCGCTGGGTCCAGCTCAGAGTTCTGGGTAAGATGGCAGTTCTGAGTGGGGCCAATGGCCTGGCCAATGGCCTTTGAGGTCATGTGGCATGGTGGGGCCAGAACTGGATAGTGTTTGACAGTGTCTTCTTCTGTGCCCAGGGGAGCTGACAATCACAGAGTTACCCACTACTGTGACAGTGCCAGAGGGTGACACAGCCAGACTGGTGTGTGTGGTGGCAGGAGAGAGTGTGAACATCAGATGGTCCAGGTAAAGCTCAATTCCAGAAAGTCCCTGCCCTTACAATCTCGGGTGTGGGAGGTCTACCTCTCTGCCAGGGCCATTGCTGTCACCACTGCCTTTGTGCCTAGCTCCATCCCTCCACCAGGCCTTGTGCTGGGGTGGGGGTACAGCACCCTCATCCTACACAAAGAGGCCCTGTGGGACAGCTTGCTTTTCCATTGGTTAGGCTATAACAGGGTTTCTTAAGCTAAGTATCATTGACATTTGGACCAGATAAGTTTGGTTGTTTCAGTCCTATGCATTGCAGGATATTTAGCAGCAGCCAGGATGTCTACCTACTAGCTGCCAGTAGCCCATGTCCAGGTTGTGACAATAGAAAATGTCTTCAGGCCGAGTGCAGTGGCAGACATCTGTAATCCCAGTGGATTGGAAGGCTGAGACAGGAGGATATTGAGTTTAAAGCTAGCCTCAGCAAAAGCAAGGCACTAAGCAGCTCAGTGACACCCTGTCTCTAAATAAAATATAAAGTAGGGCTGCGGATGTGGCTCAGTGGTGGAGTGCTCCTGAGTTTAATCCCCGGTACTCCTCTTCACCCCCAAAATGTCTCCAGACATTGCCACATACCCCTGGGTGGCTAAATCACCACCACTGTGCTGCATTCAACTTTGGGGAACTTCTGTGGTCTTTTATTCCAGATCAATCTGTCTTTTGTTCAGTTAACAACCCCCCACCCCAGTCCCTGGAATGTGTCAGGATTATGTTGGGTTCTGGGGATTCTGGGGTCATTTAAGCCCTAAGGCACTCCCCAGCAAGAGCTGGCTCTGTGTCCCAGGAGCCCCCAAAGAGGAGTCCCAAGTGCTATCTGTGCACAGAGGAGATGAGGCTACTTTCGGTCTGGAGGAGTCAAAGAAGGGGAGGCTAGGGAGGTGATTCTGGCTGGGCCTTAAGGCTAAGGAAGGGAAGGCTGTTCTCGGTGGGGGAGGCAGCAAGTACCAAAGGTAAGTATTTTAGGAAGGACGCTGGAATGGGAATGGGCTGTACACAGGTGGGAGAATTGATGGGGTCATAAAGCTCAGCTGCCTCCAGAGTGGCCTTGGTTTCAGTGGCTTCAGTGTTAGTGTCCCCTATAGCACAGCTATCTAACCTGGCTGTCTCCACCTGTTCATTGCTCTCCTCAGATCCAGCCCCTGTTCCAGGAACACTGGCCTGGTTAAGGCCACCAATCCCCTCCTCGTTCCCCTCACCACAGAACCATCTCAGTCCTACATGACCTGCAGCAGTGTTGTTCTGCTGACCACTCACTCCTTGAAATGCCCCTTCCCTGGCTCCAGGAAGCCACTCTGTCCTTGGTGGTCTTACTGTGACTTTACCTTGGACAGCCTTGGAGAGGCACACTTCCTGGGGCCACCACCTCCTGCTGCTACACATCTGGGTTTGGACTCTATTGAGCTCCGACCTCAACTCTGACACATCCTGGTATCTCACTGCACACATATTCAAAATGGTGGAACATGACTTTAACACTCACTCCTCACGCCCTGCCCTGGGTCTCCCCAGGTTGGAGGGACACCACCATCACCCAGTAATGCAAGTCTGATTGCTTCCTCTCCCCTGCTTCCCACATCTGACCTTCATCCCAATCCTCTATTTTTCTGCTTACGCCGTCTACCCAGTGTGCACCAAGGCAGCGTCCGCTTCCCTGGATGCCCTTTTCCAGGCCAGCCCCAGTCAGTTCCACATCTCTCCATCACCCCCAGGACCCTGCTGACTAGTTTCTGTCCCCTGCCACCTTGCAGTGTATACTTCCTCCTGCATTCCCTCTGCCTTGCTGTGGCTGTGGAGTTCCTTCCTTCAGGGGAGTCTCCTTGGTCTCCCTCTTAATTTTGTGTGTGGGGTACTGGGGATTGAACCCAGGGACTTAGGCATGCCAGCGGAGTGCTTTACATCCCAGTCTTGGTTTTCCTCTTGGTTGGCCAGCAGCTGCCCCTACTGCCTCCTTCTTGGGTCTCAGACCTTGGCTACCTCTCTCAAGGAAGGCTCTCCTGAACAACTGCACCCTCTCTCCAGCACCCTGGGGCAGAGAGTGCTTGTGCTCTGTGGGCTCATCCAGCACAGAGAAAAGCCCGAGTACGATTCCTTTGTGGACAGAGGTGAATTTAGAGTAACTTAAATCAGCACACTTACTTTGTGTTTACCTCTCTTGTGAAATTTTGTGTTGGTAATAGTCTCCTACCTTTTTGGTGTGCCTATTCCCTCTCTTCCTTGAGACAAGGGTCATCTGCTTACCCTCAAGGGGAGGATTGGCTCTAGAATGGCCACTCACCTTTGATTCCCTCCTCCTCCCATTTTCCACTCTCCTAGGGCCTGAAGACCAGAGGCCCTGGACAGCTCACCCAGTGTACTTTCCCCTGCAGGAATGGACTGCCAGTGCAGGCCGATGGCCACCGTGTGCACCAGTCCCCAGATGGCACACTACTGATCCACAACTTGCGGGCCATGGATGAGGGCTCTTACACGTGCAGCGCCTACCGCGGGAGCCAGGCAGTCAGCCGTAGCACAGAGGTGAAGGTGGCCCCAGCAGGTAAGAACGCATGCCTACCAGGGTGGGAGGGCATTTGCTCACTGTTGGGGCCTGGCTGGTTGTGAGCTGAAGAAGGGTGCAGGCTCAGCAGTGTGGGGGACTCTATTCAAATGCTGACTTACTCTGCCTGTTTCTGGTAGTGTGACTCTGCAAAGGCTTCACCCTGTGCAGTGGGTGGCCTCACCCCTTGAAGCCAGGTGAAAAGAAGTAGGCAGCGCACCTGCTGTACACTGCTTATGACCTCTTTAGGCATTGTCATTTAGACTTGCCACTTTTATTCGGAAAAATGATTGGAATTTTGTTTTAATACTTATGGTCTATAGGCCACTAAAATCTGTCCATTCTAATCAGTGTGGCAGAAAGTGGTCCAATGACTAAAAAGTGCCTCTTTGGCCATTTGAGCACATAACCCAGAAAGGAGAGGGCAGGGTTATCATCACTCTACAAATGAGACGGGTACCTGGAGAGATTAAGGGATGTTTCTACAAGTCACACAGCAGATTAGTGGCCCAATTGGAACTAGAACTCTGGTTTTATGACTCCTCATGGTTAATCTTTTTTCTTTTCCCTGAACGATTACACATGTAACAAAGTGTAATTATTCACCAATTTGATATTTTAGCCTTATATTCTCCAGCTGTTGCTCTTTGTGAATTTTCATATTTCAGCAAAGTACTATATTGTATGTGGTATCAGTACAAAAAATGATACTGCTAATTAAATGACAATGGTGAGATACCACCATCAATTAATACGCAGACCGATTTGAGATGTGAAAAGAAGTACATTTTGGAATTGGTGACAGACAGTTTTAATGCTCAAACTCATTAGAGCTCTGTGGGAAAGGGGAGGGGAACTCTGCCCACTGAGCTCTCCCTCAGTTGTGGTTCACTGAGGGACTGAATCAGGATAGTGTCCTGGGCCAAGCAGCCTGTTCTCATAGACCTTATGCAGAAGCTCAGATAAAATTGATACCAAATTTACTGATTTTTAGAAAACACTATGCATAAATAACCTTGTTATTCATATTAATGTAAATAGTTAGCCCTCTGGTTATTAATACATCAAATCTTTCTATTTCTAACCATTCGCTGGTTAGGTTGGGCTTTTCCTGGTCATCTTGTGAGGAAACAGGAGAGGATGAATGTTCCCTATCCCTGGGAGGCCTGGTGTTAGGGAAGGTGCAGCTTGGATCTAAGTGGAGCTAAGCTATAAGATCCCCTTCAGAAAGAAGACACCTCACTCAATAAGGCCACTAAGCCCTAGGATGATATAAGACGCTTCTAGTAAAGGTAGAGGGGCAGGCAACAAAGGCTCTGTCCTCAGTATAGCATTTGAACCTTCCACCAAGTCTTTTCCTGCCATTTATTCATTACTTTCTCTGGGAGAAGTGGAAAAACTAGAAATATAGGGATCTAGGTGACTCAGACAAGCTGGGGAGATGTATGCTTTATATATATGTGTATTACAAAATATGTAGCAAGTGTCAGGACATATATAGCTTAGTTATGGATATTTGTTTTGTGGTGCTAGTGATGGAACCCAGGCCTCACACATGCTAGGCAAGTGCTCCAGCACAGAGCCACACCCCCAGTCCCAGTTGAGGATTTTGAAGGCACAAAACTTTGGGGGGTTGGAGGACCCCAGCAGTAAAAAGGAGAAGATAATATAGGTCTTGTTGAGTCAGATTTTACTGAAAGCTGATCCTACCCCTTCTTTCCAAACTCTTTCTTCCAAACTCGAGGCTAAGGCAGTTGTCATTTCGCTCATCAGCTCTCCAGGGTAAGAGTTAACTTGAAGAGATGTTTAACCATCCAGTCAATAAATACCTGGGAGTCTGGGAAGAGCTATGCATGGGGCTGAGGCCACAAATAAGAATAAGAGGATGAGCACTGGATGCTGAAGTGGGGCCAACAGATGGTGGAAACTCTTAATTGCTCCTTGTGGTGAGAGTCCACAGTGCTGCCTAAGCCCTCTCTCCCCTGTTATTCTGTAGCACTGGCCGCACAACCCAGGGACCCCAGCAGGGAATGCATCGACCAGCCAGAGCTGGCCAACTGTGACTTGATCCTGCAGGCCCAGCTCTGTGGCAATGAGTATTACTCCAGTTTCTGCTGTGCCAGCTGTTCCCGCTCCCAGCCACACACTCAGCCCACTTGGCAGCAGGGGTGAAGGCTACCTCTGGCTCTGAACAATCCTCTGGGGAGAAGGAAGATGGAATCAACTTCCTCTCTCTGGCTGGCATCATATTCCAGAGAAACTGGTCCTTTCAGTCACCATTCAGTGTTGTGCTTCAGCAGCCTCCAGGACCGGTCTTCCTCTGCAGACCTCAGCAGTGCCTGTGTCTCTCATTACGATGGCTGCTGCCGAGTTGTCAAGAAGAGGAATCTGTTTGAAGAAGGGACAACCTTTCCTTTACAACTTCCTTTTGTAAGTTCTGTTACAGGTTGAGAATTTCTTGTCTGAAATATTGGGACCAGAAGTGTTTCAGATTTTGGAAAATTTGCAGACTTAACCACTTAGGCATCCCTGATCCAAAAATCTGAAATGCTGTAAAATATGAAACACTGAGGGTCATGTCATCACTTAAAGCAAACTGTCAGGGCTTTCACTTCATTTAAAGCTAAGTGGAGAGGTGTGTAATGATTTCAAAATTAACACCTGCCTTGTAAGTGGCATGCCTATTCCTGCTTTCAGGGAAGTATTCTGTGCTAGAACCGAGTCTCCTGTGAGGTCAAACAGTGGTCCATTGCTCTAGTCTCTCTCACCTTTCGAAGGAGTGTAGCAGTCAGCTTCATATCCCACAAGGTCAAGAGCATAATGCTGGTGAAACCTCTTAGCAAAAGTGGAATATAAGGCCTTAGTATAGGGATTAGGAATGAAAGAGGCATAGTTAATACTGTCATCTGAGCATGAAAGAACTGGAAAAACTGCTTACTTTGTTGGGAAGCTGGACCCCAAAGCCTTCTTGAGGTCAACATGCAAAACTGGCTGTAGAGGTGGGCTGGGGATGTGGCTCAAGCGGTAGCATGCTCGCCTGGCATGCGTGCGGCCTGGGTTCGATCCTCAGCACCACATACAAAACAAAGATGTTGTGTCCGCCGATAACTAAAAAATAAATATTAAAATTCTCTCTCTCTCTCTCTCCCTCTCTTAAAAAAAAAAAAAAAACTGGCTGTAGAGGTTCATCTGAATCCTTTGTAAAGTTGACCAGCCTGCTCTGTGCAGTGACAGTAAGGAGCCCCTCTTCCTTAAGTATTATGTAAAGCAGAATGTTTGCTTCCAGAGAAAGATCAGACGGTTGTTAAAAACGGCATTAGCAGGCTGGGGTTGTGGCTCAGTGGTAGAGCGCTTGCCTAGCATGAATAAGGCACTGAGTTTGATCCCTGGCACCACATAAAAATAAATAAAATAAAGGTATTGTGTCCATCTACAACTAAAAATTAAAAAAAAAATAGCATCAGCAGGATGGGGAACTAGTAGGTGGTGGGTGAAGGCAATGTAATAACAGGGAAGTGGTTTGAGTTGGAGGAAGTCATTCTTTACCTCTCAGAATTTCTAATTCCTCAATGCTGAAACAAGAGGCCTGAATTCAAGGAGCTTCCAAGTCTTATTCAACTTTCTTCTATGAATCCTCCAGAGGACTGCCTAGTAATAAAGGTCATTCTTTGACAGAGGAAAGATGAGCATCATAGGGATCAAACCCCTGAAAGGTAACTTTTATTATCAACACACTGTCTGGTATAGAAAAATGTATCATGGGTGATGCTTCCTGGTCTACCTCTCATCCAACAAAAGAAACATGGGCCGAGGGCAGAGGTTTTCTCTTTCCATTAAAAAAAAAAAAAGTACTGAGATGCATCCCCTTTCATTTATCATGGCTGGTTTTGCTATAGAAATAGGAAAATAAATGTTGCTTTCATGGATTTCCTAGTTTAATGAAACCAGAATTTATCCTATTGGCACACACTTTAGAAGTTACATCTAAAAACAGTTAGCTCTTTTGAGCTAGCCCATGTTAGAACTAGTCCCAGAATAGTGGCTTAGAGGACAGGGCCAAACTCACTCAAGAACAATGGTTCTCAACCATCTTCCAGGGTCACTGAACCTGGAGTTCTCTGATTCCCAGCCCCCCCCCCCCCCGGCCACACACACACACACACACACACACACACTCTGAAATTAATTTATTTGGTCTTGTGTATAGGCTGGGCATTCAAATTTGTGTGTGCACACTGGGGGTGGGGGCTCTCACATGCTAAGCATGTGCTTTACTACTGAGCTACACCCCAACTCTAGGCATTAGGACTTTAAAAGCTACCCAGGTAATTCTACCATGTAGCCAAAGTCAGGAGGCACTACTCCAGCCCTGGGGTGTGGCTGAGATTCTGCTTTCCAGCCAGCTCCTGGGTGAAGCCTATTGTGCCAGACCACATGCCGAGCAGCAAGAATCTGACTTTAGCCTTTGTTTGATCCTGTTAGCATCTCTTAAGTATGAACGAAAATGTGAATTTTTAGGATATATTAGTCACAATAAAAGATCTGTGGCTACTAAACTAGGAATCTGCAGAAACAGCAAAGTGGAGAGACAATAACACCGAAGAAAACGAAAAGCAAACTCATTTGCAAACAAATGGAAAATAAAAAAAGTCCTTCATGGACAAAAGCTTCTACCACGAACATTTATTTTGTTAAAGCAGATTATAAATTCTCATCAGTACAAATATATATATATATATATATATATATAACTTACATTTGATTGTAAGGCCAACGTTCAAAAGTAAAAATGAGATGGGATCTCATGTTGTTACCGGAGGTCAAGTGGCTGCAACTGGCAATGGGATGATCTGCTCACCATAAAGGAGGTGGGGAGGGGGGAGCACATACACAAAGCTAATAAAACCAGAATCCCCATCCCCACAAAACTCATGGGAACAAAATTTAAAGGACAAAACCCACCAAGACCCACATTACAAACCAACACAGAAACCTGTGTTCCCTTCTGTGGATGATTATGTCATTGTCACCTTAGTGTTAAAACAGTAAAGAATTAACATAAGGAAATTTCAACAATATATAAAATACATATTTTCTAAAACATATTTAGATTGATTCCATTAAAATAATGACATTAGAATTTCAACAGAGGTTTAAAACCAGGACAATACTGCTTTCATTTTCTTTAAACTACAATCTAGTGAATGTACTGGTCATAAGCATGATTGTTGATGCGATGTGCTACTTACAATGAACGATAGCGAACAAGCTAGGGATCCTGTCTGCAACTTCCAACCCTTCCTCTTTTTACTTCAATAGGCATCAATGATAAATCAATCTTATGTACAATTTCTTACAACTAACCCTTTTTACTTTTGGCAAGATTACTTACAACTCATACAATTTTTTAATATTGAGAACTATTTAAAATATTCTAAAGGCATAAAAATAAAGATTTTGGCTTTTTTGATATATATTTATAATATTTATTCTGTTACTCAAAATGGAAGCTCAACATTACCCCCAAAATAGAGCTCTGCTGGGCAGTTGCTGATGTGCCCTCCCAGGAATTCTGGCAGCACCCTCTGCCTCTCTTCCCAGCCTGAGCACAGACCACTCTTCTTGATCTTTAAGACAGGTCAGTACTGACTGGGAGGAGGCAGGGGAATGGCCTGAAAAGTAAAGGGAGATTGTTTTGCTTTTATTCCAGTAAATGTGCTTTGAATACAGATTCCTGTTCAGGTACTTCTGCCTTTCTATTGTCAGAGATTGTAAGGGGGCAAGGGAAGAGGGTTTAGAGAGCGCCACATTTTCTTGACTTCTTTAGCTTAGCTGCAAGACAATCTTTGCTAGGAATGGCTTTCTTCACTTCTTTCAAAATCACCCCTCACTGCCTGGACTTGTTCCTTGGGACCTTTGGGATTAGTGAAACGTATACTGATCAGGAATACGAAGTCTCTTTGCTCCTTTGACCTCCACCCCCTGCTTTTACCTAGGTACAGACAAGACACATAAGCCAGAGAGATTGCTTAAAGTTCAATTTCAAATGTCTTCTGTAAGTCACTGGAAAATGGGTTGGTAGGGGAGGGATTAGTACGCTGCTTGGATTTGCTTTCTAATGCAGCCCACTGGGCTTCAAAAGGATCCACTGGGCAGGTGCCTGCAGGAACCTCTGTGTGCTTGTCTCCTGAGGCCAACCTGCCATCGTCTACACCATTGAAAGCTGCAGAACCGTTGAGGTGCTGAGCAGGAGGCTTAAAGAAGGGACTGGTGGTAGCACTGCTTGTCTCATACTGAGGGAATGTCTGTTGCTTGACCAGGCTGGGAGATGGATGGGGATGAGTGGCCTGAGGATGGCCTGCAGTGCCAAACACATTGGCTACCATCTGGGAGGGAGTGATGCCCACCACAGGCACATTAGGGGCTGGATAGGACATCCCGTTGGCCACAGGATAGGACTGGGCAGGGACAAAGGCTGGCTGCAGGGGTGGGACCACACCCACTGGCACAGGCTGAGAGGTGAGGAATGCATTCCCTTGGAAAGGCGGTGCTGGCTGGGAAATGGCAGTGGGTGGAGGAGGCTGGAGAACTGGCTGCAAAGGGGCAGCTGAGACCTGGGGCTGCTGGGCTCGGACACTCTTCGACACTTCTTCTAACCAGCGGTCAGCCTCAGAGGGAGTGCGTCTGTGACCACCATGGAAGAGACCTGGAGATGCAGCACCAGAAGATTGACCCCACTCAGTCCCTGGAATGAGCAAGATGCAGACAAAAGAAGAGTTACTGGCCTCTTTCCTCACATTATAACCTTGGTTATTTGAAGGACCCTAACATGTGGCACAAGTCCCCCAAGTGGGACACTCTGTGGTTCTGGCAGATGGGAGGAAAGTATTACCAGCTGAAGAGATTTTGTGGTAGGACAAAGAGAACCTGTCAGACCATTTGCTGTTAGCCATGTTGAGAAGCTGTTTAGATATAGCTCAAATGCACTGAGCCAAGGTAGCTGGCTGGGGTTGGGAACCCCACTTTGCTTTCATGGTTCATCCAAGGTACAGAAACTAGCAGGAGCATGTTCTACAGGGCTTGAGGGATCCTTCTTTGCTCTAATAGGGCAAAAAGAAAATAACCAGTGACTTGGCCATAATTAGTTGGCCCCTGCCTGGTTTCCAGCCATATGTTGTTTTTCTGGTGAAAGATTCTATTTAAGTTTTTTTTTTTTTTTTTATAGTTTATAGTTTGGTTTTATGCCTAAAACCTCAGTTATAGTTAATGACTATTCATTACAGGAAAACACAAAAAAGAAAAGGAAAATGATGCTTAACGTAGTACTTTTTGTAGGTCTACCACTGCAGGAGGCAGGATCCCCTCTTCTTATAGGCATGTCTGCATATTGCCAAGTCCTATGATAGATTCTCTGGGGACTAGGCTCAGGAATCTATAAAAGCCATACGGGTTGTTCTGCTCTCTATTGCTGTAATCTCTCTTGTTTCTCACCATCACTATTCTTTCTTAATAATGATTTATTTCCACAAGGGAACACACTTTTCCTAAAAGGATTTTTTTCCTTAGATCCCATTAGGTAACTGGCTGACATCAGAACCAGGGTCACTTATCTGATCCCAGAATCCTCACCACCATCTGTGGCCACCTTACCCGGATGAATGGCTGCAATTTCCTTGTTAGCAGCATCAGGGGCATGGGCCCAAGGGTTGGTTTCACGCACAGGCATTGCTACGGGTGCTAGAGCAGTATGGACTGGCTTAGCAGCAAGCACATGGAAGGCTGAGTCAGTGCCATTAGCTATAATGGGAGCAGACAACATCAATGGAGTTAATTCATGCAGGGTGTACGAGGGATCCCATGGAGCTGGGTCAGTCAGGCAAGGGAACAATATTGGTGGGACAGATAAGATGGAATACTTGATGTTGGAATAACCATGCCATCTTGCAGTGGATACACATACCTTTTGGCAAAGAAGGATTAGAGGTTGTAATTAAAATGGTTGTACTGATAAAGTCAACGGTTGTTTTGGGAAAACATGCATGAGGAGGGGAGAAATTAAGCCTATAAAAACAATTCTGACGAGCTGGGTGCAGTGGTGAATGTCAATATCCCAGTGACTCTGGAGGCTAAGGC